AAGGGATATCTAAAAAAAATATTATAAATATTATCAAATATCTACGTTTCATCAGCTATCTAACAAGGTATAACAATCTAGGATTTGTATTGCATTTCGTGGAAAAAAAAGTAGTCGGGACGCTCCAGGTAGCAGTTCTAACGTTCCCGCGCCTATTGTCCTTAAGTTAAGACGCACCGTGCGAGTGAGACAAGCGACGGTTTATGTAGGTGCGAATGAAAGAAAAAATATTGTAGAGATATCACGGGATATTGTTTTGTTTGTCAGTCTGCTTTTGTGCTTCGTACATAGTAGATGTGATATCGTTTTGCTCTTTTTCTTGACTTGGCTGTGATTCTGTACTGTTTTTTCCGATTTGTGACTACTGTGCTTGTTAACCGGACTTTGATTTGTATTTGTGCTACGGAAGTGTTGAAGATGACGTCGTACACACCTGAGGAATATGCTGATATGCTTATTTGTTACGGATACTGCGATTGTGTGTCTGCGCAAGCTCGCAACGAATACATAGCTCGATTCCCCGGTCGTCGAGTGCCGGATGTGGCTGTTTTTGACAGAGTTTATCGGAGACTTCGAGAAACTGGCTCTATTTTGAGACGAAATACAGACATGGGCAGACCACGAATTAATGACGACGAAGAACAGGACAATGAGATAGTGCAACGCTTTCGAGCGGATCCGACTACTTCCACTAATATTGTTGCCCGTGATCTGGGGCTTTCGCAATGGAGAGTGTCGTTTACAGTGCATACTGCTGGCCTATACCCGTACCATTACACGCCGGTACACACTATTGAAGAAGGAGACCCCGCGAGAAGGTTGGACTTCTGCAGATTTATGCTAAATGCTGACGTAGAAGACCCAGATTTTCTAAGAAATATCTTGTGGACAGATGAATCCAAATTTGATAAAGATGGCATAACTAATTATCACAATGCGCATTACTGGGCCCCAAAAGAACTTAGGAATCCCAATAAGAAAAGAGTGAAGGGTTCCCAACGAAGATTCAGCGCGAATGTGTGGATGGGTATTATCTCCAATCATTTGATTGGACCTTACTTTCTCCCGGACAATCTAAATGGGGAAAGTTACGAAAATTTTTTGAGTGGAGACTTGAGTGATTTGCTGGATGATCTGCCACTCAACTTGATCAGGGACATGTGGTTCCAACATGATGGCTGCCCTGCCCATTTCAGGAGAAGTGTCAGAGACTGGCTGGACACAAATTATCCAAACAAATGGATAGGACGAGGTGGGCCGTTGCCATGGCCAGCAAGAAGTCCGGACCTAACCCCCATGGATTTTCATGTGTGGGGGCGCATGAAAAGTCTTGTCTACAGCGAGTCAAATCCAGTTTCGTCTGTGGAAGAGTTAAAAGAAAGGATTGTTGTAGCAGCAAATCAAATGAGGACAACGTTGACCACTGGAGTAGTGAAGACTGGTCTCCGTAGAAGAATGCGACAATGTATTAGAAACAGAGGCGGCCATGTTGAACATGAACTGTAGAATAACAAAAAGTTGTGTGAAAACCTGATTTAATAAATACTTTGCATGCTTACGTTTACCTATTGTTTTGTTATACTTTTTAGGGCTAAGTATTAATTTTCTCCTCCACTATCGCCTATGAAACTAAGTTTTTTCAATGCATTTAAATAAAACCCTAGATTGTTATACCTTGTTAGATAGCTGATGAAACGTGGATATTTTATAACTTATCTGCCGATCAACTGCCATAATATTTTTTTTAGATATCCCTTAGAGAAAAATAAACTTTCTAATTTTTTTTTAATTTCTTAACTTTCTCTTTTCTACTACGGCGTATTGAATTAACTTATTCACTATTTTAATGATTGAGGTCCTAAAGCATCTTATCACACATGTAAAAATGCAATAATTATAATAATAAGACACACAAAATAAACAAAATTCAATTTAGTAGCCTAAAAATCGGCAATTTTGAATAAAAAAAATAAAAGTCAAATATCTCGAAAAGGGTTAAGTTTAGGGTAGGGTGTTTCATAGTAAAATAAGTCAGAAATGATGAGTACTCCACGCCCTTAACGGATCTAGCACGACTTTTCCTGTAACCCTGTATAATGTCTAATAGTTATTGTTTTCGATAGCAGTGGAAGTGGCTAACATTAAGATTTAATTTTATTTTTACAATCAGCAAAAATAACTTATTATCTATAGTGCATTTGTTTAGGTACTTAACTAAATATAAACAATCTTGAGATGTCTATTTAATAAAATATACATTTATAAAATTATTTTTACTTACCTTCAAATACAAATACTTAGCTTCTTATGAAAATGCACGCCTACTTTTATACCTATTGATTTGTAAAGTACATATATGTTTCAATAAAAATATGTATCAATATTGCTTACATTTAGTTAAGTACTTAAACAAATGGACTATAATGCAATAAAGATTGCTGTGATGACTGTGATTATGCTGATACAAAAACCTATATTAAAATAAACAATAAACTTTTGGTAATATTTTTTTGGTAAGATTTTATTTTGATTTTTCACATTATACAAATATTAAAATATTTTTTGTTATAGCATCATCTTTGTTTACGTTTTTGATCTCTAGTTCCATCGTAGAGTATAAAAGAAAATCTAAGCCTCGTCTCACTCGAGTTCTCTTTTCTGCATTTTATAATAATGTTTCTAAAATGCTTGAACTTAAACAATAGAGATTTGATTTTAAACAATAGAGAGCAAAAGTTGTGGTAGATTTTTGTTTATAAATGAAAATACATCATCTAACCCTATTTGGCGTGAGTGAAAGCAAAAGGACATATTGACACATTACAGATTGTTACCGAAAACAAAAATTGTGCATTTATATATGTAGTACAAAGAAAATTTAACGAAAAATATATTTAGCGGCGTGCCCGCAGAAATATAAATAAATATCCCAAAATAAGGATGTAAGGAAGAGTATTATAGTTTATGTAAGTAAGGCGATTAACACAATGCACCGCGCTACGCGACGGTGCGCGTGACGCGGAATCACGCGCGCGGCAGCGGCGACGCAGATCTGCGTCAACGCGCGGTTTAATCTGCGCGGGGGCAGCGGTCTAGCGGCCCCGCGCCACTCAAAGTACTCGCTTCGTAGTTGATCGCCGTAGTGATTGCACATGTAGCTGAGATCTTTCTTTGACAAGAATGGTTAATAATACAGAACTCATTCAGGACGCTGCAGTTATACTGTCGATTGTTTTTGTTTACTCCAATAAAAAGACACCGAAGATAACATTTAACTTCATTACAAAGATTTAAAAAAATATGAAGATTAATTTTTCAACTACACACGAATGTCAACTGAATCCTTTGATTATTTGTTAGGGAACATCCGAACAATTACTGGAATAAACACAAATTGATTATAAATCTGCGTGGTAGTGCGGAGCGCAGTGTGCCATACCCTACCGGAGAAGCATTGTCAGTGTGTTCGACGGCGCGTGTTTTCCATACAAACTGAGGTACTTCAGTACAACGTTAAAAAACGCAGCTCCGCGCTCCGTCGCGGGGCGCGGTGCAGTGTGTTAATTGCCTAAGAGTTAAAAATATATGTTGAACATGTATATGTAGCTGATGTTGCGTTATTTTTATGATTGTGGTTAAACTTCGGTTGTGCTCCATGAAGTACCATCTCATTTATTTAGATTTCTGTGAGAGGGCCTGAGGTAAAGAACAATGGCGAACTCTTTTGTATTATACTAACACCCCAAAACGATTAGACTAATGGATGGAAAGTATATGAGCGTTTTATTGTACATCCCAAAATAAGGAGGTAAGGAAATGTATTACAGTTTACGTAAGTAAGAGTTCAAAATATGTGTTGAACTTGAATAAGTAGGTGATGTTGCGTTATTTTTATTATTGTGGTTAAATTTCGGTTGTGCTCCATGAAGTACCATCACCAATAATGTTGCTAAATAAAACAATTAAAATACATATATTAAAAAAATAAAGTAAAATAATACCATCAGGCTGTTTCATGCCCGGCGTAATAGCTCGCAAGAAGTCATCTGGTGTCATATAAACCTCAGTAATGTCTCCATAGGTCAACTTGACTGTCGCAAAGTAGCGAAATATTTTGTCTGGAGTAGAATATGACCTCATACGATTTTCGTATTCTATAATCTGTTGCAATAATAAAATAAAAATACATAAAAAATAAACTGAAAATCAAGTATGAATCATTATACACTAATCATTGACAGTTGATTTATTTTTGGGTAACAATTTTTTGAACTACATTTATAAATTGAGTTTTATATACAGGCAAATTTTGGCTTATGTTCATAATTACGCCTGTATTTGAACTATCAACTAACCTAGCCTTGGCTTAAAGCCTATAATAGTGAGACAAGAATTACCCATTTTTAAAATATTTCTGTTACTAAAAGTAGTTCATCATTTGCCATTATTCATAATAACAATTCATAATTCTCCTCTAAGGAGATGGTTTAGGCATATAGGCCAATCAGTATTATTATTATTATTACTATTATTTAAGTAAATAGAAATGCTACCCTATTACATTGGGATGTTTCTGTAAAAATAGCTGTGGAAAATGAATAAATAAACATAGGCCCAGTGAGAGTTGCAGACTTCACAGAGTATTTTGTGAACCTTCTTTGGCATTATTCTATTTACAATAATAATTTTCTGACATGCATGTTTTACCAATAAGATTTCCTTTATAATGAAGCAAGCAAGTAAAAATTAGTACTAAACTGCATATGATTGAAATAGACCCAATGGTGCACACCCATGGTGTGAATAAACCCAAGATGTGACTAGGAGACAATGTTCTCCTAGAAAAATTAGTTCTACATTTTACTATATGATGAAGATACAAACATAGTAGATTATCTTTTATAAATCTTAGCAGCTTTTTATGTTTTTGACGTACCTTTCTGTCTCTAAATCCAATCTTTTCCTTTCTATATCTTTTCTTCTTTGTGTCTACATCACTGTCAGAGTCAGTGTCTGAGATTTCTTCAGCAGCTGTGATGTGTGGAAACACTTGGTATCTCACCCTATAAAAAAAAAAGGATACTATAACTTCTTATTATATTATACCACTTAAACAAAATACTTTTTTGTATCATGCACTAATGTGTGGAAATACTGGCAGATACGTGGAAAAGTTTTCAGTGTTTAAGCAAGAAAAATGGGCTTGTCAGATGTCTTTCTAAAACTTGATAATAATTTGTGTGCTGTGTATTTTATAGTGAGTAGTACTAAAATTTGACTACACATATTCATGCAAAAGTAAAGTATAAAACTCAATTTTGAAGCATGATTATATACATCATACTTAAAAATTGATTTTCTATTAATTGAAATTAAAGATAAATAATTTTTTGCAATAGTTTTTTGGCCCTGGTGTAAAGTCCTATTTTTCGATATATGACAAGACAAGTAAAGTTATCTTCTGATAGCTTTTTAAATATCATGTATTATTATTATAAGGATAGCTTCAATCCAGGCATATGTAGCACCAATCACTGCGACCATGAGCTGATCTAATTACTGTTCGGAGTCAAGGCCGACAGCATTGAAGAACTGAAGGACTTTACTGGCTGGATCCTGCAAATTTTTTATCCTCTGGTTGTGGCATGTGCCTTACCAGTATGGAGCGTCCTGCTCCCATCAGGGGATAGCATTGGGTGAGAAGATGAACAGGAGTTTCATCCACCTCATAGCAGAATCTACACTCTCTATTCTGTCTCTGCCCAATAATTGAAATCCGCTTGTTAAAGCCACACTTTTTTGTTAAGACTCTAGTGAGCATTCTGATGCCATTCTTGTCCAATCATACAGCTTCTCTACAGTGTTTGACACTGTAGGCAGCTATCAGGGCTCTTGAATGCTCAAGACCCTTGGTCTGTAGCCACACTTCTCGGGAGACGTGTGCGCTCTCCTTCAGCAGAGTGAGCATTGCCAAGCTCTATGCTATCCCTGTAAAGGGTTTGGGTCCAATAAAGATTTCCCTAACAGCAGCCTTGCCAGTTCACCTGCTGCCTCATTTCCCTCGACGTCAGAGTGGCCTGGAACCCAGCATAGGTCCACTTCATTCCTTTCCCCTTATGTAGTATGTACTTAACACATAATAATTTAATGTGACAATGCATCCGTCTTAAAATTCCACCAGAAAAATATCTTTACTGGTGGATCAAGATGTATGAATTATTAAGGATCATGTACACAATTAAATATAACAGGAAAACATTTTTTTTTAAATAATAAGTATTTATTAAGAAGTATTTAAAACTTCTTATATGAGAATACTAATACAGATAAGTAGCCTTTAAGTTCGTTTAATTGTTTGTTATAGTACAATAAATGTGTTATTCAAGGAACTTTCCTTTGAGATTTATTAGACAAGGCCAAATACTGCATTGCAGTGTCACCTAAAGGCTGAACAAATGCCATGATATTTAACTTAATATAAAGTATGAGACAAGCAGCATTGAAACAGAGTAATTTTTAGCACAAGATATTATTATAAATGTAAATTTATAAAAATATAATAAAAATCACTGACCACATATTGTACGAGGTGTAAGCAGCAGCACTGCATAATAATGAATAGCATAGGTATCTGTAGGCATTTTGATGAAGATTTTCAGCTCCATTGTGCTTTTTGTCGTTACTATAATTGCGTAGAAGGATAGTAGAGTTACGAGCCGACTGTGAAACTACAATTTTTGAGGGTTCACGAATCAACGTAAAATTCCGTAAAGGGGCTATCCTTTTAGGTATTTTCAAGAATCCCGGAGACATAGAATACATAATGGAATTTCACGAACTAAAAGAATGTCATCAAACACTTGAATAATTTCTATAAATTCGCACAACACCAAATTACGACAAAAACGGAAAAAATCTCATACTGAATTTTTGACAATAAGAATGAGAACGTGAGGGGAACCTTCAATGTCAAATTATCATTTTTTTTTATTTATTAAGCATTGGCTTCAAGGCCATCAGCTTAAAAAGATAACTAAATAAAAATGTATTACAATAAAAGTGAATGAACTAAAAACTAAACCTTAACTAAACAATAGAATAAATTATTTACAGAGGATTGAAAATATAAACACGAACGAATCAATGAAAAAATAATAAAACTTAAATATGGCCAAAAGTATGACTTACAAAACTATCAATAAATTTATATAACTCTAAATGCTGTAAAAGCTCCTGGGCAGTACTAGGAAATAAACAATCTTTTTTTAAAATGTCTTTACATTGAGCTATGAAAAGTAAACGTTGTAAATTAAAATTGGGACAAACAAAAAATAAATGATCTAATCAGAAAAGCTACTATGGCAAAACAAGCAAGAAGGATTGGATATTAACTTAAGTCTATTTAAATGAGCAGGAAATTTATGAAAATTATTTGTGAATGTCAAACAAAACAAAATAAAACATTTTTTTTTCTTAATGAATGGCTTGTGAGACTACAAAGCCTCAATTCTGCCAGTGTCCGTTTTCTAGGTTCATAAACGTTATGGAGGGTGTGTTAGAATTTTGTTCGGTGACTCGGAGAATCGAAGAGATTTTTGCACAAATTGAATTCTAGAACAAAGGAGATGGCACAAATTAGACAACACAAGTCGTTAGAAACATGTATATATGTTAAATATAGTGTTAGTGCATGAATAATATTTACAGTTTAATATGATTTACATGTATGAATTTAAAAAGAATATGATACATTTTTGGGTGAGAGGATAGGGCCAAAAGGCATTTAAAGGAAGTAGGACGAGGGATAGAAGGAGGGAGGGTGTCATATAGGGAATACCGTAGTTTAGGGCACTAAAAAAATATATGGTCCACGTTTCCTTCGTCTAGACCGCATTCACACAATGAGTTATCTTTTATCCTAAGTTTAGCCAAATGAATAGGAGTACACGCGTAACCTAAGCGAAGCCGGCATATTGTTGACGTAGTTTTTTTAGTTCTGCTGTACGGAATTTGAAAAACCATGGTGTTGTAGGAATTTGGGGTTGGATGTCCGCATAATATTTACCTTTTTCTTTTTGGGATATTTCCCAATACTTAGACCAACGATCACGAAGAAGGGATTCTGGGAGTAGGAAAAGGTAGTGGGAGTACAAATTGGAGTGTTCAGTTGAACCTATGCGGGAAGCCAATTTGGCACAGGAATCTACCGTCTCATTGCCTGGGATTCCAACATGTCCAGGTATCCAAGCTAGCACCACGTTTACACCTTGCTTGTAACACACAAACAGGACTTGTTTAATTTTAAGTATAACTGGGAACCGGAAGGAAGAGTGGAAAGGGTTTGACAGGATGGATTGAAGGCAACTTTTGGAATCAGTAAAGATGATGGAATTATTGAGTTTCTGAGACTCGACATAGAGAATTGCTTCCAGTAAGGCGATTGCTTCACCAGTAAACACAGAAGAGCAGGATGAGCATCTGAAGCTTAAACCTATCTTAGAAGAAGGGATCTATACTGCTGCTCCTACGGAACTTACTACTGAAAGTTTTGAAGCGTCAGTAAACATGCAGCGCCATCCGGAATAGTCGGAAGAGATCCTATGGTTGAAAATCCCTCGAGGGTTAGCGGAGTCCATCTCTATGTCAAAGTGAAGGAGAATGTTGGGCTGGAAAACAAGAGCTTCATAGGAAGTACAATAAAGAGGATTGCGAGGAAAAAATAAAACTTGGATACACGTACACTTGCCGTTGGGTAATTTTCCGAAAAATTTGAAATAGTGGAAATTTTTCCGGAAATCTCTCTAAATCTTCCAAAAAATTGAAAGTAATTATTTGGAAGGCTCATATGTTGTTCTACGTTTAGAAATATCCTTTGAAGTTCTATTTACGTGAATTATAAGATAAACTTGTATTGTAAAAAGCCAATAAAAACCTGTGTGAAAAATGAGGTTTAAAATGATTTCACAACAGCGAAAAAGTTGTTGTTGGAGGTTTTCCAACAACCACACCACCATAACTTATTGGTGGCTCCATCGTTTTCGTTCATTAGTTTCAATTTTTGACAGGTAAAATATGGAAAAATAGAGAAAAATATCCGGAAAAATGTCAATTTTATGAAAAATAAGCTTTGAAAAAAAATGGAAATTTTTCCACGACCCAGCATTAGATACACACATTATTTAATAATCTGTGGAATCGTTACGGGAGATTTATGTGTATTCGATTTATAAAACATAGACAAAGATGGACGGTTTGACAATAGTGATGTCATTAATTATGAAAGATAAAGTGAGGATCTGTTATTTGAGACTAAAATAGTCGTCTGTTATTTAAACTTCTTTTGATTCTCATTTATTACGAGAAAGAAATTCAGGAATAGGTTAACGGTTAGTCAATTGCATTAGCGAGACAATTATTGCATTACTTTACTGAGATTGATGGCAGGATTAAACTTAACGTTTCTTTAAGTTTTCGTCACAAAAAAACAAAATAATAATAAAAATACACAATAATAAATGGTACCTCCAAAATTTTATGCAGTCATATTTTTTTAATTTTTACTTATTTTCTATCACTTTGATCATTATTGAACGTGTCAACACAATTAAAAAACGCGCAAGAAAAATGTGTTTCCGTTGCAGAGTTTAGTACTAAGACGAGTCATGCGAATAATGTGTACTACGGCGAAGGAACTGCTACCTATATTGTTTCCCGACTAATAAACGAGTTATAGCTAGAATTATGCAACCACTAATACAAAAAGTAAATGTTAGCGCAAAAGAACTCTGGCGCCGCTGGGCCGCCCGCGCGCCCCTCACTCGATTCATTCCGCCATCGTAGCTAAACGTGCTCACACACATTACCTTTTACTGTAGCAAATTGGAATACACGCTCCAAAAGGTTTTTCATGTCGTTTTATTTTATTAAGTAGCTGAATCCTTAATAGTAAAGTATGAACAGTAAACTTAAAAATTTCTTTGTAAACAGCTTAATCAATTGCCATAAATTTGATTGTTTATGATTGTTTTTATCAAGTTTCTTTATAATCTTTTTTGTTAATGACAGTTTAGTTATGCAATTTACTTCAATATTATATAATGCTTTTCTGTTAACAAATTGAACATATGTTTTGTGTTGATACAGTTACCATTATTACAAACCTTAGTGGTTTAAAATGCGACTAGAAACATTGTTGTGTATTAAGTTTTAAGTGATAAATAAATTGGAAAAGAAAATGTAGGCAGCAATACTGTTCAATGTTACATCAACAAGTATTTCAATTGTCGCCTCGCCCATTTCCACCGAAGATGGGCTACGAGAGAATTGAAATTTTGTCATACTAATTTTAACAATGCCTCATGCAAATCCTCGTCTCGCCTCATTGATAGAAAACCACTTAAAAGTATGATTCTAGACATTGTATTGGTTTCCACACGTGTGCTTTTAGTTTCCATAATAACTAAAACTTTAAAGTATCGACTTAGAAAATAAGCGCACATAAAAACAATTAAAACCGTATTATTTCGTCATACCTTTTACTAAGCAAACAAGTTGAAATATAAAAAATAATCGAAAAATGTCTTGTAACGACTATTATAATATAACAGTATAATAGCATATATTATATGCAAATATAGATATTCCTGAAACAACTTCTGATTTGCTGGTCCTTTGTAGACAACTGGACAACCTACAACGTGTATTTTTAACAAACAAAACTTTCATAATAATTTAAATAATTCTCAAATAATCCCTATTACGTAATCACAGAATACGAATAGACATCACTATAAAATTGCCATAGACAAAGAAAAAAAATTTGACATGACTACGTCTAACGTCCGACAGTAGTACTGACTGATGAGAGCATATGCACGGGAGGCATGATAATTCTTTGAATTTTTTACAAAATTGACTGCACTTGCGAGACAACTTTCGATTAGTGTCACAGGTAATTAACGTTCAAGACATGAAACAAACGTAAAACGCAATTTATTCTGTAAAAAGTGTAATTACTCTTGCCGTGTCTCTGAAGTGCTAACATTTCATTTTGCTGTAGTGAGTTATATAACCTTGAATCACGGGACTGCTGTATTGATCAGATTCTGAATTTTGTTATTATTCCATCAGTGGACAAGTTTACAGCGGGTACGTATTGTGTTTATTCATTTAGAGCCAGAATCTTCGAGTACACGCGGACTTTCGCGGTCGAAATATATTGACCATCTTTAGGCATTACGAGCGTTTTACAGCAATCGTTTTAGGGCGATCCTGAAATTGATACATACGCTTTTTTACTTTTTGTTGGTGTTTCCTGAGTTCAATGTCAAAAAGATTTAAATACGGGAAAGTAACCTTGAGAGTTACATGCCATGACATAGATTCTGATACATTGCATTCACTTTTCATTATTCTATAGTGCTCATTATAAGAGGAGTTATTTATATTGTGTATCAATTTAATTACCATAATTAAAGTAATGAAATTTTTTTTTGTGTAGAATCAATGATTAATGAAATAAAGATGTTTATCTAGACAACTGTAATCACATTTTATGACAGTGGAAAGTTTGTAAGTAACAAATACCTCCTGTATATACAGGCTGTCCCAAAACTCAATGATAATCTGGGAACAGGATGTTGCCTAGTTTGTAACAACCCAGAAAAAATACATGATTTTTTGTGATATAAGCATTTTAATGAAAAATGTTGAAAATGTACACCTGTACACCATTTTTAGTACTACAATTACAAATTTGCTAATTTTGCTTTTTTAATTTTAATTTTTTGTAACAGTAACCCAAATAGCCCAGTTAATGAACACAATACCAAAGAAAACCCGAATTGATTCAGTTTCAGCACAAAAAAAAATTTCTGTTTATTTTTTTTCTTCAAATTTTTAACAGATTTTTTTCAAGGTAACTTTGACACCCCATACTGTAAAAAAATGTACCTAAACTACCATGGCAACTTCTTACAGAAGTTGGCGCAACTAATTAAGATTTTAAAATGGTATAAAACGTTCTACATCAAGCTTTTTGGAAAACAAATTTTTGGTTTTGCTAAAAACCAAAATTACCTATTCATATCTGGAGAACGGGGTGTCAGATCTACTGGAAGACGTGCCACTTAGCATAATGCGGGAAATGTGGTATCAACATGACGGGTGTCCTGCTCATTATGCCCGTACAGTAGAACATCTCAATGAAGAGTATGCAGGTCAATGGATTGGGCGCCTTGGTCCAATTTTGTGGCCACCCCGTTCTTCAGATTTGAACTCCCTAGACTGTTTTACTGGGATTGTCTGAAAGAAAAAGTTTATGCAAAACCGATATCAAACGTTGCCGAATTACGATGAAGATTCACGGAAGCTGTACATCAGATAAATTTACGACAATATGCACAATTGGTAAAAAGGTCATTGTTAAGGCATTGTCGTGCACATATTGATGCCGGTGGAAAACAGTTGGAGCACTTGCTGAAGTCTGTAATAAAATTATAATCATTTATTCATTACAAACTAGGCAAAATCTTGTTCTCAGGTTATCATTGAGTTTTGGGACACCCTGTATGTAAGGGCCATAGTTTTGAAATCTTAAAAGAACTGAAGTTGATAAACCTATCAAGTACTTATTATGTACAGAGGTTGTCTTCTGACTAAAACTTGTATTACCAATAAATCTCCAAAATCTTATTTTTTATGGTAATAAGTTTCATTAAGTAAAGTTAATCAGACATATTGGTTCTGCATTTGAAAACATTAGCAAAAAGATTTTTAGCCCTTGAACTATTTATTCATTTAAATAGAACATAAACAAGAATAGGCAAAGAAAAATTGATGCTCTGCCAAATACAAAAAAGTTATGTACTGCATTGTTATACACAATGCACGCACAGTGTACTCTTAAATCATGATTAGTGAAATAAAAATATTTTTACTTTGAAGATTCTACTTGTACAAACAATAAAATGATGATATACCAGATCTACTGTAATTGTGCTTGGCTTGACCTGGTTTTATTTAATTACCTTAATTCTTGTCATCAACTACCTATTTAATATAACAGCTTAATGGAGACATTAGTTGTATGCTAAGTGTGTAAGTGTTACATTGGTATATTGGTTTTTTTATGGTTTTCTGACGGTAGCTTTATGGCATTGCTTTTACACAGGGTTAAACAAGGTATGGAATAAACAAGAGTTTCCAAACCCATGACTCTGAACTTGATAATGATTAATAAGTTCTAGAGGGGCAATTAATAAAAATGTGTTTATGTAGAAAAAGTTTATATAGAATAGAGTATATTGTTCTCAGGATTGGCACAACATTATAACAGTACAGAGACACTGTAAGAATGCATCGAGCAAGAGCAGTCTTTGTAGTTTCAAACAAAGTTGGTAGCAGTGAGAGATTTGCATCATGGCTCCTCAACAAACCACAGGTAAGGGAAGCTTTTTTATACTAGTACCATTTTTTTTCACTACATCATTGAGTATTGCTTAAAAAATTTTTTAGCCCACCATACAAAACCGTATTGAAAAGGCAAAAAATTTATATAAAATTGACTAAAATGAAATATTTGAAACTGAATATTTTTTTTTTAAATCTTTGATATTGTAGTGACTGACCGCAATTGGTTTGTTATCATAATGAATCATTTTATTGCTCTTATCACTCTACAATTAAGTATTTGTATAATGAGTAATATTGTCGAAATTTTAGAGATTTGAATACCAATAAATTTGTAACACATTTCTTATATAGTATGTACTTTTATATAATAGTGTAATAAAACTTTTTTTTGGGTTTTCTTAATTTACCTTATGAGAACAGGTATTTTTAATATTTCTAGTTCCATATCCCTGGCTATAGGACTTGTAAAGCTCAAGACAGGATGATTTTTGTTAGCTCATACTAAATAAATGTGGATGTGTACTGTGTACCTGAAAACTGTACATGCAATAGCTAGAGGATCATGACTCCTGTGGAAACATCCTTTATGAAAGTCCTTTAAATAAGATGGGACAAATCAATACCAAGTTAATGTCATTCAAAACATAATAAGTATATAGTAGAATATCGAAATTATATTACTGAAGAGTATGAAACAATTGAAATCCTTGTATTTTAATCTTTAATAGCACAATCCGAAGGTAGTTTCCTTCACGGACGAGCAAGTTTTCCAAATATTGCTTTTGGAAGCTTTATAGAAATCAGACTAGTGCTAAATATTCCACTAGTCTATTCTCTCTAAAGCTTCTTTGATTAAACATATTTTTAACGTTTTTAACTTCCGTAAAGGAACTGGAAAGTTGTTATTATGCAGACCTTTCTTCTACCGTGTGGCTAAGTAACTGTATAAGATATTGTAAGGTACTTACATATTTGACGCGTTTTTTGAGATAAGAGTATCTTTTCACATCCGTCTGATATTGTTCTGATAGATCAAGAGTGCAAATTGTTAGTTCATGTTGTTTTATATCGCGATAAGACATAACTTAGTCATGCTCTGTCATTATTATCAGACCTTGAAAATATTATAAATTTGAAAGCAATGTTCTAAAATGTAATTTTCGCGTACACTTGCTAATGTGAATATCAATTAATTTACATTATATTTATTTACGTTACTGTGTTGCTTATTTACTTTATTGTTTATTTTCTTTATATGAACTATTTAGCAACTGTTTATCTCCTTTTAAATAATCTTATCATATGCTGAGGCGTTGGTAAAAAACAATAACAATAGATGATATCGGCACCTATGGGACGAGCCTCCGCTGCTATGTACTTTGGAATTGTGATAAAAATAAAGTGGGCGCTACTGAAATAGTAAGTTGTATGTGTCAGTGGAAATGAAATTTTTTGTAACATTTGCGTAGAGTGGTATCGTAATTTTTTTAGTGGGATTTATTCTAAGACTAGTAACAGCTGTAGTTAGACACTAGCTTGGCCTAATAATAAAGATATTAGGAACTATATGTAACGTAAAGATGAAATAAGGCATCAAAATATCAATTAATATAAAGAACGAATGTGCGCACGTACTTATTTGAATCACTTCTTATATTTAGATATTTGTCATTTCTTAGATGTACGGACAACAAAATTGTCAAGGGCATGACAAGCTTGACATTTTGATAAACAAATTCAACTCTATGACGCTTACTACGCTTAAGGACATATAATTCGAGCCAACCTGTATATTTATTCTTAAAAGGGCTAGAATACAAAAATAGTATTTTCACCAAAGAAGTTTTCCCCGCTGTTACAAATGCAAATTTTCAATAAGCACTTATGGAAATGTTTGCTAAACCAGTTTTAAAATGGCATAATAGCACATTGTTTAAACTTAGGGCATTTAATATTGAAAATGTTATTTATAAAATGGAATAATGGAATTTGCACCGTTAATTTCAAAATGTCAGGCTTCACGTGAATATGATTGTATATCTCGTATTCCACTTAATATTTAAAGGAACTCTATACGGCTTACAATAAAAAAGCAAAAATCCCAGCGAGCTGTTGATTTTACCTCAGCCGATTGTTGTCAAATTAACTAACATGTATATTGTGATTCTGCTACGTAATGCAAAAGATTTTTTGTAAACATGGGCTCTTAATTTTTATCATTATGGAGAACCCGCGCAATCACACATATATCTATATATATAATATCAAGTGACGGGCCGAATAAGTAGTGCGCCTGATGGTAAGCTACACGCATGTCCATAACACTAACAGTGCCACTCAGAGCTTTAAATCGCAAAGATTTGAGGGGCACTGCCGCTGCGCCCGTCACCCTGAGACATAAGTTGACAAGTTCCATGTGCCGGTTATTTCACCAGCACCTTTACCCTTCAAAACCGGAACACAGTAATGCTGACAATACTGCTTGGCGGCAGAAATAGGTAAGGTGGCAGTACTTCCCTGGGCGAAATGTTTCACAGAGAGCTCTACTGCTACTCTAATTAGGCTTTTAATAGTTTTAGGTTTTAATTGTTACGCATAATGTATTAGGGTCGAAACATAAAATTACGATGCGACGCCGCATAGCAGTCTACGAGCACGCACGACACATCGCAAGAATCAGCGAATTGCTCCGCATCGCGCATTCCTGCGATGTTATTCTTCTTTGCGTTTTTTTCCTGTACTTTCTTATCAATAACAGCAGTGCAACATTCTTTTACGATCCATGTTGCTACCTACTTTAAAAAATACGATCAGTACGGTTGATGATCGACGGAGGAATGGTTACCCGAACTCAGTGTTGGGTGTTAATCAATTAAATTTCAATCAGACATTCTATCAGACTAAAAAATCAATTAAATTAATTATTACAATTAAGTTTTTTGATTGTTTTAAGAAACAATTGAAACTAACAATTAAAACCTACATAATAAAAGTATCATTACGAATATGACACTCATTTCTAAATCCAAGATGGCGTGCACTATTTTGTTAGGGAGTTGGGTTAGGGGTGGGTACTCTTTCACCCACTCACTCACACACTCACTCACTCACCCACTCACTCACCCACTCACTCACTCACACACTAACCCACTCAGTCACTCACTCACCCACCCACTCACTCGCCCATTCACCCACTCACTCACAAACTAGCTCACTCACTCACCCACTCACACTCTCACTCACTCACCCACTCACTTACCCACTCACTCACCAACTCACTCACCCACTTACTCACCCACTCACCCACTCACTCACCCACTCACTCGCCCATATGAATTTATCATAATTGTCAGTTTTAATTGTTAATTGTTAATCAAAAACATTGAAAAGATTGAAAATTGATTAATTGTTAGTTGCGAGAACCGCAATTAACAATTAATCAATTGTTAATTGCTGTTTCGCAATTGACAATTAATTAATTGTCAATCTTTAATTGCCTGAACAATTAAATTTTGCCCAACACTGCCCGAACTGTGGCAGTGAGATGCTTTGCCGCATCGCGCCGATTCGTAGTTTCGTGTTTCGAACCTTAAGCCACTGCTTATGACAAGATAAAAGTGGCTGTAGTTAAAATACCGAGAAGATCTTTTACTTTAACCTGTTGTAACTCTAGTGACTAAATTAAATGTTCGTGTTAAATTCTAACTGGCAAGTAGTCAAATGGTTCGTCTCTGTTGAAAAAGACGCCGTCTCTATTGTATATATATTGCTGTATTAACGTAGTATTCTTAACGTGCGTTGGTCAAAATATCTTGTTATATCAAGTTTCTTGTGTCTGTGATTCCGTGGGCACTCACACAGAAAGTATACCTACCACTGTAGCAAACTGCATAATTCAAAACATGCCTTTCATGATTTATTCAATAAAGTTACTCACTTAAGGTTTCCCTAACATTTCTTTGCACTTGATAATGTTAATTTACGTTTGCGCAGACCGCCGCTGTGACAGTAAACGCCAATAGGCTGAAGAGTTCGACAGCGGCAGAACCCTTCCTCAATGGCTCCAGTTCGGCATACGTCGAGACTATGTACAACACATGGCTCTCAGATCCCAACTCTGTACACGCGGTAAGTATTTTAAGTAACTATTATTATTGTATTGCATGCTGTCAGCACTTTTATGTTGGGCGCTGTGAGGACTAAGGCAATGTTAGTTATTTGCTCTTTCATTCTTCCGTCAACTCGTTAAACGGTAAATTGTCACGTGTTACTTGATAGGACACAAATTATGGTGTTCCATGTCGGCCTCATTATTACTTTCTATGGCTTTAGTTGTCTTCATTCATTATTCGGTCAATCGCCTGATGAAGAGATAAATCTATTATAATCGGAACTTCGGTCATAGTCTAAAGTGCTCCTTAAAATGGGTAATTTTCAGGTTAGTGTCCTCTACTCCATTTCGGTGGTTATCATGAATTATTATTTAGAAGTAAAATTTAAATTTAGTATTCTGAAATATTATTTAATATTCCAGAATATTATACTCGAATATTAAATAAAAAAATAGTCACCGAAATTAAATAGAGGCAAATCATACTTTGTTTTTAACTGACTTTAAAAAAGGGAGGTTCTCAATTCGACTGTTTTTTTTGTTTGTATGTTACACGATAACTCCGGTATTTGTGAACCGATTTTCATGATTCTTTTTTTTTGTTGGAAAGAGGGTACCTCCATAGTGGTCCCATTTAATTTTTAAGAAAATCATCCACCTCTCAGAGTGGCTGTTCACGCACGAAGATTCATTTTTATAAATAGCGCCTTAATTTTATTATAAGGAGCAATTATTTTATTGGTTGATTTTGCTATTCTCCAATTCAAGGCGTTTTTATGTCTCAATATACTTTGAGTAGTGAGAACCGATTGTTATTATCTCCTGTGTCAAGTCCCGTATGGTGGCGAACTAGGGGATGAATCATGAGCGACCCGTGCCGGAGAGACCCGTTCCCAGCAGTGGGACGTATAAATGGGTTGATGATGTTTACAAAAGCTGTTATTCTTCATTTTATCATATCGTTGACTTGCATATAATAATGCTTGCCATCGTGGTGGAAGGATTTGCCTATCGGTGTAAGGTATTCGCCGATTGTAGCCCAGGGTGCGCCAGACGTATAGAAAAGGATGGTATACTTATGCTGGGAGGCTCCTTTCGTGCGCCCCAATACTCTTGTTTACACAGTTTGAATTGAAGGTATCGAAATCGAGTAGTTGTTCTATTCTTGTTTCCGAAATATAGGCAATCAACATTCTAACTGAATTGTCATATTTCCATGTAAATATCTCTATATAAATCAAATCATATACATTTATGTATAGGCATGTTTTCATTGGGAACCTTCTTCCTTCTAAAGTTGACTGTAGTCGAAAGAACACAAGGTATTTCAAAGAAAAGATAACAGGTAGAAAAACAATGATGAAATAATCAACGGTGTATCACAATGCTAACAATATGATACTGTTTTCAGTGGACCATGTGGGGTACATATGTTTATGGATTCATTGAATTCATTGTTGACCTTGCCAATGACCTGATCAAGTGTTGAGTGACAAACTTATCAAGTTACACATTCTTGCCATCGGAATTAGAATCAAAGTGCAATGTCGCTGTGCGACCGTGACACAGTAATAATGCAGTAACAGAAAAAGAATTGATTTCATTGACCTACCAAGTTTAAAAAACAATACTTCAGTGCATCACTTGTTTTAATCGGAGTTTATTCAAGAACACAAGGAACATTTCTACGAATTGAATCTGTATAGGCACTGGTGATTCATACATGAACTTTACCAAGGAGAAACGTTTTCCTCAAGCGTACGAATATATTATTAATTTCACGATTTTACCTGGCCATGTTACTGCTATAAACGTCAAATGTTTTACGTAGATATTTTAAAGAAACGTAGTTTTTTTCTAAAACACTCAATGTCGCATACTTCACGGTTGTGGACAGCGTTTAAAAATAACAGATTATTGACGATTTGCCTAGAACAATCTATCGACTGGAAACGACACCAGATACTGATGCCACTATACTGATTGCGATTTAATAACAATAATAGGGTCACTGATATGCTGTAATAGAAACGTCTGATAAAGGTCTAGACATTCCCGAGTATGCGACCGCCGCCGTTTATTACGTAAGCGTTTATAGAAACATTCAAGACGGAATGCCATGGCATATTTTTCAAAGTAATTATTGAATTATGAGGCATATTGACTTTGAGAATCTTCGCTTTCATAGAAATCACGATCGCTTGATATAAAGGTACAGATTCTTAACAACGTGCCGTTGGCGTGTAATGGAAAAACGACAAATTGTTTGTTCACGGGACGAACACTATTTGGCCGGATGAATGTACTTATAACCACATGACAGTAAAATTGAATAGTCATAGCGTGCAAGGTCACTTTGTTAGCTGGTCCTAATTTAATATGGTTATCACTCGAAACCGACATCTATTATGTAAAACCGGTAAATCTGATAATTAACATACTAGTATTGTTTGGAAATGATGATAACCATGTGGTTCAAGAAATTAAACTTTTTACGAGGTTCTAATTGGTCACAAGGCAATTAAAATGATAATATTTTTATACAGGGTGGCCAATTTACAGTGATCCAAAATTTTTTTTTTTTGATGGAGTACATTGTAACTACTCATTTAAAATAAACATTAGTTAGGCAAAAATCAACTGTTTAGAAGTTATGATTTTTTACATACTTTTTTGAAAAGTTTCTACTCGTCACTAAAACCACTTTAGTTTGAAAACTATTCCACTAAATTATTTTTAATATGGTATGGAAGTAGTGTGATAAGATGTAGATAGCATGCAATGGGCCATTTTTGTGTTTGTTCTCAGATTGCGTCGTTATTTTTGACCTTTAGATTTTTTGATTTGTACACGAATATAATGTTAATTTTCCAAAAATTCCTAACTGTGAAAAATGTACAATCACAATTTGCTAATGAAAACTACCATACATGTAGGGATTGTTTACAAATAAAATTGTAGTGTTGCAACTATTGCAACATCTTCATAAATTGACATGACGTGTACTGAGTCACAAAAAACCGTTAATATAATAATAAATAATCGTTATTCGAACAATTTGAACTTAATTTCTTAGAAGAAAATATTAGTACAACTCATATTTACCTTTATTATTCTCAAACCAATCTATTTATTATCAATCTACGAATAAACACAAAAATGGCTGCTAGACATGCTAGCTACATGATCACACTGTTACGGTTATTTGATATCGGGCAAACATGTAATAATTTATATTTAAAGAAGCAAAATGAACACACATATCACTCAGAGAGAATTTTTATATATTTTTGTTAAGTTTGACGTATAAAAGAGCGGTAACAAAGTAGGCAAAGGTGTGTCAATTATACAGCCTCTTCATTATTTAACACGCCCTCTTAATTGTCACATCTTTGTCTCATATGTAATACAAAGTACATATTCCTAATAAAAATTAACAATAGGGACTTATAAAGTTGATACAATTATATTAAATCTTAATGACAACTTATCTAAGTTTTATTACACATTATCTTTTACATTGTGACATTATCTTTTACAAATATTTTCAAACCAAGTTGGTATTAATACAATGTGTTATATGTTACTATTCTATAGTAGTCTATAGAATTTAATGTTATCTTTTAAATTGTAGAAATATGTTAGTATACAAAAATGTTTCACTTAATTACTAGTATTACACTCATTTTACGTGTTTTACAGTTATGTAAATAAATCAAATACTTAAAAATATAATTAAAGTAAAACTAGTTCAGTATTACATTTACAAACTTATAAAATTTTTCAGAACCCAAGCTTTTAGTCATTAAATCAGAGAAATTATCATTAGTACTAACATAATCAATCTGTAATAACTTCTTTTCAATAATATCTTTTAGAAAGTGATATTTTATATCAATATGCTTGGTTCTTTTTGAGTTTTCATAGCTTTTTGACATGCAGATGGCACTCTGGTTATCTACTAACAAAGTATTTACTTTACCAGAACATTGAAGGTGTTTAGCTACCCCTTTGATGTTCAGAAGTTCCTGAGCAGTTACTGCAGCAGCCACGAACTCCGCTTCAGCTGTTGACAGCGCCACGCAGTGCTGTTTCTTTGATGACCATGCCACTAGATTATTGCCATGAAATATCATGGAGCCACTAACACTTTTTCGATCTATGTTGTCACCTGCCCAGTCTGCATCCGAGTAGGCATATATATTATTATCTGATGATTTCTTGAATACTAATCCTATATCTTTTGTAGCTTTTAGGTATCTCAGTATTCTCTTTCCTGCTTTCCAGGTTTGTTCATTTGATTTGTCTAGATATCTGCTTAAATATGCCACAGAATATGCTATATCAGGTCTTGACATTGTTGTTAGGTATAACAAACTTCCAATGAGTTCACGGTACAAGTCCTTCTTATCTTCTTGTTCTATCTTATTTTCAGTTTTTACTTTAAAATTAATTTCCATAGGTGTTTTCATCTCTTTGCAATCTGTCATCTGGTATTTCTTTAGTATTTGGTTTATTAAGTTAGTTTGTTTCATTGTTATAGTATCTTTGTTTCTTTCAATATCCATCCCTAAAAACTTCTTTGCTTCTCCTAAATCTTTAGCTTTGTAAACCTTTTTTAAGTCTTTTATAGTATCTTCACAGTCAGCTCCAATTAAAAGAATGTCATCAACATAAATTATCATCCAACAGTCCTTTTTGTAGTACAAACAGGAATCATACTCTGATCTCTTGAAGCCTCTTTCTATTGCAAAGTTGTTTATGGTTTCATTCCAGCAACGGGGCGATTCAGTTAAACCATAGAGTGCTCTTTTAAGTTTTAATACTCTGTTCTTTTTTGTACTGAAACCTTCTGGAGGTTTAATATAAATTTCAGATTTTAATTCTCCATTTAGAAATGCTGTTGGTATGTCGAGCTGTCTTATAGGAAGATTTTCATTCAATGCTTTTGATATTATCATTCTTATACTTGGCATTCTAGCTACAGGTGAATATTTATCATACTGATTTTCATATTTTTGCTGAAATCCTCTTACGACAAGTCTAGCCTTTTTTTGTTCCATCCTCCTTTTCTTTGAAAATCCATTTTGTGTCTATAGCCCTTTTATTAATTGGTAGTTTCTCTTCAGTCCAAGTTTCTAGATCATTTAGTGCTTCTAATTCTTTGTTTATAGCTTTTCTCCATTCTTCATTCTCTACAGCTTCTCTGTATGTAGTTGGAACTGAATTATGTTCACAATTACTTTGTGCTATATTGGTTTCATAATTTTTTAGGTATGTTGGTCGTTTAATTATTCGTCCAAATCTCGTTTTCTGAATATCTTCATCTTGTTGTTTCTCTTCATTTGGTTCAGAGTCCCTCGGTTCTATTTCGTTTGGTTCATTTTCACTTAGTTCAGTTTCATTAGGTTCATTTTCAATTAGTTCAGTTTCATTAGGTTCATTTTCAATTAGTTCATTTTCATTAGGTTCATCTTCAATAGACTGATTTTGTTGAAGTTCTTTCTCCATATATTGGTTATTTGTTAGTATTATTATTCGATTAGATTGGTGTTCTTGGAATTTATTTTCTTTATTCTTTATTGTGCTAAATACAACATCTCGTCTAACAGTTATTTTTCTCTTTATAGGGTCCCACAATCTGTAACCTGTTGGAGCGTAGCCAACCATGATCAGTTTTTTACTCCTTTCTTCAAGTTTTTTCAATTGTGTAAGATTTTTAGTATACGCTTCACATCCAAAAGCTTGTATATTTTTAACATTTGGTCTTTTGTTTGTCCATTTTTCTATTGGTGTTTTTGTTTGACCCTGTTTTGGTGTTCTATTTAGTAAGTATGTTGCAGAATATACAGCTTCTCCCCACATCTCATGGTCAACATTAGATTCATAGAGCATAGCTCGTACCTTTTCCAAAAGGGTTCGGTTATAGCGTTCTGCTTTGCCATTCTGTTGTGGAGTGTGAGAGACCGTATAATCCAGTCTTATTCCTTGCCTTTTACACCAATCTTTTAGATCTGAGCCTGTATATTCTCCTCCTTGGTCACACCTGATTATACTCACTTTTTGGCTGGTGTGTCTTTCTATTTCTTGTATATAGCCTTTTAAATTTTTGAAAACTTGATGTTTATTTTGTATGAGATAAGTCTGTGTATAATCAGTATAGTCATCAGTAAAGGTCAGTATGTACCTGTTGCCGTCCCAAGTGGGTGGAGTGATCGGACCACAAACATCTGTATGTATAGTATGTATTATTCGTTCAGCTTTCTGACGCGTATGAAATGGCAACCTTGTTTGTTTGGCTCTCATACAGATATCACATGTTGAAGTAAGGGCCTCTATTTCTTCTTTAGTTATATTTATACCATCCACTGTTTTCAAAATGTTTTTTAATGTTTCTTTGCCTGGATGACCATATTTTATATGCCAATCTTTTGCAGTTTCCTTTTTATATGACAGGAAAGCATCATCTTTTTTACTTGTTAATTGTACAGTGTACAGGCCATTTTCATTTTTCTTACCTTCGAGTACTATAGCGTTATTTTTCTTTATAATTACTTGTTGTTTTGTAAATGTCACTTCTCCATCTTTATTTGTAATCGCTGCCACAGACAAAAGATTTTGTTTCAGGTTAGGAATATATAGTACATCTTCAAAATTCACATTTTCGGTGTGTATTGTACCTTTCATTGTACATTCTAAGGTATCATTTCTTTTGGCTGTATGTATTTGAATAGAACAATCTTTCTCGTCTCTTATCATTGTTTTAGTATTTGTCATGTGTGATGAACACCCAGAATCTATTATGAAGTTTTCAGTCTGAGCGCACAATGCCATTCTTTCTATATTTTCTGTCTGTGTGAAGAATGAAACAGCATTTTTATTAGGATTTATGTTCTTGTTATTTTTATTTTTGTTCCAGAAACAATCCTTTTCTGGATGATTAAACTTTTTACAAATGTTACATTGCTGTTTTCCTTTATAATAACAATCCTTCTCCACATGATTAGTTTTATGACAAATTGAGCACTTTCTCTTATTTACAAACCTTTTAGGTTTATTTGTTGATGCTTTATATGCAATTGAGTCTGTAGTTATACTGTTTTTATTTCTATTTTGCTCACTAATTAAACGGGATGATAAATTACTTAAAGTTTGATCTGCAGCCGGTGTAGACTCCCAAGCAGTCAAAAATGTTCTGTATTCATCTGGCAAGGTAACAAGTATCTTTGATATTAACATTTTTTCGTTTATTTCTTCACCTAAGCCTGTCAATTGATGTGCCAAACCTTCTAATATACTTATATTTTGTGTCATGTCTTTGGTTATGTCAAATTTATATTGAAAAAATTCTTGCAACAAATGACATTTTTGTTGATCGGTTTTTTGTTCATACAGTAATACAAGTTTGTCATACATAATCTTTGCGTTTGTACATGACATCAGCATTGGTAGAAGCTTTTTATCCACTGTGTTTGTTATAATTCTCTGAGCCTGTGCGTCAAGTTTTGAATCTTCTTTTTTGTCGGAAAGACCTTTCATGACGATATGTTCTATCCCTTCGCTCCTGAATAGGATATTTATTTGGAATTTCCATATTGGAAACGTTTTTTCGTCCACCAAGCACTCGATGGATTTTATATTTTCTGCTGCCATTTTACGGTATTATTACACCAATTTACCACTTCTTATTTATATAATTTTGAGTAACTACGCTCTGCTACCATGTTACGGTTATTTGATATCGGGCAAACATGTAATAATTTATATTTAAAGAAGCAAAATGAACACACATATCACTCAGAGAAAATTTTTATATATTTTTGTTAAGTTTGACGTATAAAAGAGCGGTAACAAAGTAGGCAAAGGTGTGTCAATTATACAGCCTCTTCATTATTTAACACACACTACTTCCATATCAAATTTCAATTAATTTAGTGGAATAGTTTTCAAACTTGAGTGCTTTTAATGATTAGAGTAGAACATTTTCAAAAAGTATAGCAAAAAAATTTACTACTTTAAATTATGAGAAATCTAAAATTTCGCGGAACTAATGTTTATTTTAAATAGGTTCTTGCAATGTCCTCTATCTAAAAAAAATTTAGACACTGTAAATGGGCCACCTGTATATACGCAAACTTACACCCACAGAACATAGACATACTATCAAACTTACACCCGCAGAACATAGACATACATTTCAAACTTACACCCACAGAACATATGTAGACATACATTTAAGTTATAATGTAGGTTTGTAAACTTAACATAAATTTAAAATTTTTGTTTCCTTATGTAAATTTTAGAATGTTACACTATACACAATTTTGCTCTATGATCGAAAAAAGGAACATTAGATTAAATGACTGTTTATATATATATATATATATATATATATATATATATATATTAATTTAAGATACAGGTTCGCCTAGTTTGAGAGACAGGGTTTTACGTTGTTAGCTTACCTGATCCACAAAGTGTCATGTTCACTTAATAATAGATTTTTTTTAGTATTTCTGTAATTTGCATTTCGTGGAAATAAATAAATAAATATTATTATATACTTTCGATAAATACGTTACAGGAAATTGGTAAAGTCTTCAAATATTATCAATGTTTGGCTATCCATTAGGCTGTAACAACACAGAGTATGCCATCAACACGCAAAGAAGTAATGTTACAAATGCAGAAAAAACTTTCCATAATTTATATTATCATTATTTAAACAGTCTACACTGCACTACGTATAACTACACTAACATATATATGCACGAACTACACTGGTATCGGCTGACATTGATAGATAACATATGTACCGTGTACACTGCATACTTGTCTACGTCTTTCATATAACGTTGTTTATTTGCTTAATTTTGTTATGCTACTCGGATACAGATTCTCTTCACTTTTTTAATTTATAAATATAGCTCTAGGCAAATAGTTTACAGGCAGACTTACATCTGGTTTAAACAGTGTTTTAATTGAGATTTTTTTTGTAGTCGTGGGATGCATTCTTCAGAAATGCAACCAACGGCGCTCAGCCCGGAGCCGCATACCAATCTCCACCAAATCTCGCTCCGTACTCCAAAAATGAAGTCCCTCTCACATCCCTTGTACCAGCGTCTGGTGGCATGCCTTCTATTTCCGCAGGTGATTATTAACTATCTGTTTTTGGATAAGAACACCGACAAAATAAACGGTATAACTGAAGTTATAAATAAAATATTTACGATTAAAGGTATGTGAAATGTGTTTAAATAATTGCGAAATTTCTCAGGATCTCCTATCAACGAAAAGATCATCGATGACCATCTTGCTGTTCAAGCCATCATTAGAAGTTACCAGGTGAATGACGTCATGGACTACCTTTATATTATTTGTTCTTGGTTGCACATTTTGTTTACATACTTATTGTATGTATTTCCCTAATATTTTGAATATGAAGTGACTTGTGATTGATCCCGAACCGTGAATATAGAGTAGAATTTGTAATTGTTGTTATGTATGCCTAGGTTTAGATTTCAACACATAAAATTGTTTAACAGTTACTTTTTAACATCCGTGTACACAATTAGGTGTATGATCCGTTGCTTTAGGTAGGGGTTTCATTTATACACAATTACACTGATTTATTTATCGCTGTGTAAGTAATTTTTATAGCATCCATTATGCACACCACTTTTACGTGTTCTTTTTTTAACACAAATTGTACTTTAGGAATACTCTTCTAGGTTTTCTAGCTGGGTGAAAATTTTGCAATTGGTCTTACAGTTGGTTGGTAAAAGTAGATGGCAATGACGCGTAACGTACCATTTATTGAAACTGCATTTAACTAGACATTGGCATTGCGCTCCCAATATTAATTATAATTATTTTTAAATTGAAAATTTACTTAGATTGAATGGCACTTTTAGCGACTTTACAAAATAAAGCCCCATGATGGGCGCCAATATTTCAATACTACCTGTGGATGTTGAACACAAACGTGTAATGTCGCTGGAGTGTGGCCTTTCGATTGGGGCTAAGTGATGACGTGGTGGCGGGTGCGTGGCAGGCTCGCGGTCACCTGGCTGCCGACGTGGACCCGCTCGGGATCACCACAGCCAACCTGCCCGATCTGGGCATGCGCGCGCCAAGCTCCGAGCTCATCATGAGGAAATATTTCAAATTCGGTACGCAGGCCTAAGGTCGCCGATTATTTGGAAGCAATCACTTGCGTAAAAGATCGTGTTGTTACTTATTACTAGTTGAACATTGCCTTGCGTGTCATTTATTGTTTTCCATGCGGCGATATTGACATATGTATGCAAGTATAATATACGATCTGTGTATTTAAATTTTACTACGTACAAGTTTCAAAGTGATAAATATATTTCACAATTTCCTACTTTTAAATTTACATCCCACACTGCCATATTTTTACTTTAACTGGTATCCAGATATAAGGTACTTTTAATACAGATATATAATATCATAAGCTTTTAAAAACTTGACGAAAGCTCGAGGTCGAACGAAATATTTTTTAATTATATTTGCATACGTATGATTGTAATCGCCTGCCATTATGGATTTGACTAATTTGTTTGCCATAGCGTTTAATTTGATAGTATTTTAGTTATATCTCACTTATTTGTGCGTACGTGAAGTTTTGAAATGATTTTGTCATTAACATTTTTCTTTTTTCAAAAGATCATCCAGCGGTTATTTTTGAATAATTCATGTTGTGTTAATTGAATGCTATCCAAATAATACTCGTTGATTTAAACTTAACAGTTCCTGCATGTACATGAAAATTCCGATAGCTATTCTTGGTAGCAGGTTTCAATATTCCTTTAAAGTAAAAGTGTTTTCTACGTGTTAAAGATTAACCAAATAATGCTGCATACGGTTAAGGCCGATCAAAAAATTGCTAGTCTCAAAATAAAGTTGAAACGTATTGCATTTTCCTCTAGAATTTATTTTGTTTGTATTTATTTATTGTAGATGGGATTTTTTTAGGAGTATACTTTTATTGCATTTCGATTCTTATTCGTTTGTTTTAATAAAGAAATAGTAATCCGAAACATTAGGAATATATCGTGGGGTTACAAATAGATTTTTTGTATTTACTCTTAACAACCCTGTTAACACAAAAATCTGCTTGGTTTAATCATCCCGAAATGACCCCGAAGAAAATATAAGGCTGCCAGAATACCTAAAAGCATTTATAAAGAATCTTCATGGCTGTGGTATTTATAATACGCTTAAGGGATTACGATAGATAAGTATTTGCATCAGGCACGGATCCATAGACTCTAGAAATGTTACGTTTTAATAATAATTGGCAATTTTAACATGCTTTCTTTATGTTGTACATGAAGCGTGCTAATATGAAGTGACGTACCTCCAAATTGTATGCGTACGTTAAACTTGTATATGGATCCGTCACTGATTAAGTGGATTGTTTTTCACGTGATGTAGTCGAGGGGTCACCTCGTGGCGCAACTAGATCCACTCGGGATTGCAACCGGGGATCCTGTGTCGAGCTGCGACTGGCACGGGGGCATGCGCGCCTTCGCTAACGAGGCCGTCATTAGACAACAGTGTCGTTTTGGTATGAACATATCCAGTCTTTCGCATTGCTATTGACGTTTAGCAGAATGTACATTCTCCATAATTTGAATTTTTACTTTAAACGCATTCTGCGTGCTATGATGTATAGGAAACAATGATCCATTCACCTAATAATTAAATTTCGCTTTTGTGTTAATACTGTTATTTGCATAATGTTTGTAAAAAATATATATCACTGCATTTTTATGATCATACACAATATATCAGATAAAACTTTGAATTTTACTTCAAAATAATACAATGTACTTTGATTGTGGTGGCATATGGTGTATATTCTTTTAAATTTCAATATGCAATACGATTATAAAATTGGTTTAGGGTTCTTAAGCTTCACTTACGCTCTTGATGAGTCTCGCACTGTGTATATTTTAACGTTATGGGGTTGTATGGTACTCCCCTAACTCCTAAGAGAGTTTTGTATCTTGTAGTTACTTAAAATGTATACTATGCTTTTACCCAATGCTTATTCTGTAGTTTAGCTGCTTTTAACTAGAACTTGCCAAGTTTGTTAAAACTAAAACTTGTAGTGTTGTTAATGGCGCAAGGGACAATATGATAATTATACGTAATTTTTATTTTATTTTTATTCTAATTTCTTTTATTGTTTTGGTATTTTCACACAGTTAATGTAGTTAATGTATAATATTATAATGTATTATTATTTACTTAATCAAAATTGAGACTAGCTTTTTGAAGTATTCGGTCAATTAACAATAATAAAATTAACATATCATATTTACTAACTTATCACCATATACATACCATACGCTTAAATTGTAATGTACAATTTCGCATTTTGGTACCCACACTATTTAGCAATGTTTATACTAACTTAGATCCATAGTTACCCAAATATAGCGACTAATGCCTTGTAGTCATATTCCTTTACTAGACCAGAAATGTGTTTTACATTCTATAAAACTATATGTGTTTAGTTATATAGGTCAATTACTCATGGTATTGTGCATATCTAGGCTATACTTTCAGGTCATGCAGATTACGGCGTAGGTCTGTGATATTTGCGCGGCAACGGTTCAGAAATTACACACGTATCGCATACGTAACACATATTAAAACACACCATCTACATTCAGTGCGTTGTAAGATAAATCAGCATTGTTTTATTATAATTAATTTGTTGCGATTTTCATTTGCTTTGAGTCGGATGTTCGTACACATAAGCTTGAAATTACTTGAAACAAATGCACATTGTAAACGAAATTAATTTTGTCGTACAATTTTTGTATACAAACATTTTACACGGTCACTAGCGAGTCTAGCGATTATTTACCCTTTAATCTCATAGTAGAGGTGCTGGTATTAAATGTTGCATTACATTAACTACTGTTGACGATTTCATATTATAGATTTAGAAACCACAGGAAGTCCCCGTATTTAATCGCACATTGAAACGATTTTGTTGCCTTTTGCAATGCACGTCAAAATGTTCTATTAACATTTAACAATAATAGCATATACAATTTTATCTATTCTTTTTACGTAAAGTTTTTGCAATCGATTGAAAATCACTTAGATTGCATTCACATGATTGATGTGCTATTTATGTATATCTTTTCAGTTGTGTTGTCGTGTGATAAATAATTGTCCCGTTTTAAAAGTTCTTTCTAGTGTTTGTTTTATGACTAACACTAACCAATATAGAGGTGTTTATATATTGATATAGTCACAATCATTGGCATTTGACGATGCAAATTGCAAATATATAATAATGAACAAAATATGTACATTATTCCGTTTATTTACTTATGTGCATTCGTAAGCACATAAATAAGCAGGTGTTTTTTTTATAACTTACAAAATGTTGTGTTTCTTTCTGCTTCTTCTATTATTTTTCTTCCAATTAACTGATAGGTGCTGAAATATTTTCACACACTAAACCGTTAACTAAAAAACAGATCCGAGGACATCATATAGCGAAACTCGACCCGTTGGGAATAGCAAACTTCGATTTTTCCGCTAAAAATCCACGGGAGGTGATTCACAACAGCTACAGGTTTGGTAAGAAGAAAGAACCAGTCGTATCAGCACCCTTGCCGCTCGATCTAGCTCATTTAGTAGTTATGGCGGCTCAGAATCTACACACGTAAATTGCGATCACAACTTCGTATCGGTGCAATTTGAATCTGTCTACCAAATCTGTTTTGAAACGGCGAACGGTCCACACACTTGTGGCTTTAGCGTTTCACCCTCTGGCGAATATAATTTTTCTTTCAGCAGATTCACACAATTATGTTTTATTTGCAATTATTTTAGTTTGTTTACCAACTGGACGCCATAACTACAATAGGGGTTTATGAATGTATAGCATACGGTCCTCGGCTCGCACGCCATTTACTCATCTCTCATATCTCCGTATCTCGGTGTAGACATTTTGCACATTATATTTTATAATCTCATATTTTTGTTGCACTTGTTTAGTCATTTGTTGCCCTGTATATGGATACTTGCCTAAGTTGCATGGTTGTTAACTTTTATGCGTAATTTTTCTTTTAAGTGGGTTTAAATTATTACTGCATTTCGTTTTTGTGTATCATAATTATGACTTAATTCATATTACTTGTGCGTAAAGATATATCGCTCATACCCAAAACGAACACTTAATTTTAATTGATGATTCCGATTTTTTAAATTTTGCGGACGCATTATTTACAGGATTATTTGTAAAATACTAGCAACCCCACAGAGCTATTAGTAATATACTGACGTGAGGACGCTTGCATGTTTGAACCTCCATTTGGGTAAATACAGATCAAAAAGTTTCAGGTACTTCGATAAAAACTGAAAAACTTTTTAGTTTTTATCGACGTACCTGGCTTTTGGTTAATCTATCATGTTTGTAAAAAGTTATGGAAAAACATTAATGTTTATGATATTAGTAATAAAGTCTTACGAGGTTGTTAATATTTTACAAATCATGGAAGTCTAATATATGAAATATTGAAAGTCAGGTTTTTCGTTTTTTTTTTAAAGAGAGGACAATTGGATCACTCAGGCAAACACAAACAACTGTATCGTCGAACCCGTTACTCTGTAAAAATGCAAAAGTGGATTTTAAGTGGATATGTCACCGTTGATTTGTTTATAAATTTCATTAGCAGTTTTCATCATAAACTTACTAATTTAAAGTTTCGTAACATGAATACCGTTATTTAATGTATAGAATGCGTTTGCACAATTTAAAAGTAAACCGGATCATTAATCATAATAAAAAAAAACCACCCTGTTGGACACAGAAGAGCCATATTGTATTTATTTGTATATATTCTAACATTGAGTGGTGAGGTTTATGAAAATGTACAGTTGAGTTGTTTTTAGGTGACTTTGAGCGGCGTGTAAAAGTCACGTGGAGGTACATCGTTTGCTTTGGCTGAAGGCCAAGTCACCTCGTCATACTTATAGTATCACTAACTCTGAATTCAGATTAGTACAGCCGCCAATACATTCGCTTTTGGAAAACTATTCTCCCATACTTCGATAACAATCAATTATTTATTTCTCTTCAATAGCACATCGATTTTTAAGTATAAACTTACGCACTGCAAATATGATATTTGAAGAGCTATATGTATATACTTGAATTGTATAAATTTATTCAGAATAAATGTACTTGAGATTGATAACATTATCTAGGTATTCGATATAATTATTGGCCCGTCACAACAAATACATAGTCATTTGTAGTATCTAAAATTTATTTTACATCATGTAAGAAACGTTGGACGCCTATATGCTAATCCACCAATTTATCTATAATACTAATAAGGAATAAAATCGTACTAACTCTCTTATATTGGAAAATTGACCAATGAAAAGCACCATAACTTTCAACATAAGTTCATCGTTCTGTGATGCAATGGAAATGGCGGATGAGAAAAATTAGGTTAAAATTTGTTTATATAAATAATATCGAGTTCTTAGGTTTTCGCGATTGTTACACATAGGAAATGAAACTATTTTTCCGGATTTAAATCGCGTATATTGTTTTTTCAAACAAACCGACGTTTCGGGCCCTTTACAGGTCCATGGTCACGGTTGTCGAAACGTCGGTTTGTTTGAAAAAACAAATATACGCGATTTAAATCCGGAAAAACATATTCATTTCCTATACATAATATATTCGTTATTGCCTGCTAAAATATCAAAACTACACTTAAGAAACATCTGTGATTGTATATAATATATTCATAATACTATATTTATTTAGCATAATGGGACTACATATAGGATAGTGCCATTTTCGGTTGTTTATACTTAAGTTTGAATGGGACTCATTGTTGTGATGTTAATAACTCTGTACTAGTAAAGGGATATGAAACTGCTTTTAATGTGCTTGTTATTATATCGAATTTTGCTGTGATATTATTATTATTATTCTTATATTCTTTACGAACTTTGTAATTGACGGACAGTACTGCTGTTAAGTTGACATTCAATCTCTTATAAGCACATTGTGTATTGTAGATGAAGCTGATATGGACAGAGTATTCAAACTTCCATCAACGACATTCATTGGTGAAAAGGAAAAAGCCTTGCCTCTAAGGTAAGTGTTGTAATCAGTAGGCTGGTCCAAATGGTTAGATCTACATATGATTGTCTACGTATGAGGTTGGGACGGGAGTGGTTTGTATTCCATGAATATAAAGGTATCTTCCTTGTGAAATTACAGGCACGTGGGATTTGTCAGCTTATGGCTCAGGGTGACGGGCGCAGTGGCAGTGCCCTTCAGATCTTTGCGATTTAAAGCTCTGAGTGGCACTCAACTGCAATGGACAGGCGTGTAGTATACCAAGAGGCGCATGACTTGTTCGACCCATCGCTTGATATTATTTTAAAAAATGTACTATATCTGCATTAGTCAAAACTTGCTATTTCTTAAAGTTGATAAAAAAATTTTACTATGGTGAAAGACCAGTTAGTTATCTACTGCATTTTTTTACATGGCGCTGCTAGAATTACTTTAAGATTCAACTTCAGCTTCCTAGGTGAGCAGTTTTATGCTACGATGATGTAGTGAAACTATTTTTATCAAAGTACTTAATTAACATTTGGCGATTTTAACCACTCCGTGTCACTCCTTGTAGTGAGTGATATGTAGACATTTATCCGCTCATTTGGAACAGCCTATTTCGATCACTGATTATAATCTTGCGAGATTTCAATTCCTTTAGTATAAAAATATTTTTGTTAATCATCACGAAATCGGTGTGAGTTGAGGAAAAAAAGATATTTTAATGTATATTAAGGAAAAATACTTTTATTTTCGTCTAAGTCTTTTTTTTTTATTATAGGGAAATCTTAAACCGTCTAGAACAGGCTTATTGTAACAACATCGGTATCGAGTTTATGTTCATTAACTCGTTGGAACAATGTAACTGGATCAGACAGCGGATGGAGCCACCTAATGTTACCAAAATGAGCAACGACCAGAAGAGATTGATTCTTGCTCGTCTTACTAGATCTACCGGGTAAGAGATCGTTTTATTTGGTCTTTAGTAGTCTAGCCTTAGCGGAAGGAAAGGCTCGGTCCACATAATTTATTTACAAAATGAAAAGGCTGTAACAATAAAATGATATAAAAAAGTACAATTAATATAAAACACTCCCTACTAAACTCAATCCAGACAACACGCACCCTTAAGGGCCTGTATATCTATACGATTTAACAGTAATGTCCTCTTGTTTTGAGAATTTTGATGGGAGTGATGACTTAACGAACCTAAACTAACCTAAAAATAGTGAAGGAAAAGGAAAGAAATTCGAGAACGAATCATAATTTTAAAAGTAAGTGGCCAAGAACCAATAAAGAGGGTGATAAAGAGGTGGGATGATGATGAAGGAGGTCAGCATCGTTACAAGTATAATAAAAGTATTACTGGATTCGAAAAAGCAAAGATGATGCAGATTGACACATATTCAGTTTTCTATAATCTGGGCAAACAAGGGCAGTACGAAGAGGGTTCAAGTCATTTTGGTTATGCATACTTCTCCAAGTAATTTGATCAGTCACTCAATAGTATTTGCACTGAATTTCGGATTACTTCTGACTACAATAGTCTTTGTTGTTATCCGCATTATGTCTACTTTGAGGATGAGACTTTTTTACGACTGAATACTGCATTATGAGTAAGAAGTTTTGAAAAATGCTCAAACAATTTTATAATCCTATAGATTCGAGAACTTCCTAGCAAAGAAATGGTCGTCAGAGAAGCGTTTCGGCCTGGAGGGCTGTGAAATCCTGATCCCGGCCATGAAGCAGGTCATCGACGTCTCCACGCGCCTTGGAGTCGAGTCTATCATCATGGGAATGCCGCACAGAGGTGTGTATAGGAGTTAATTTTATTTGTGTAATCATTCTCATACGATAATAAATAATAAAAAGGTATGTATTTCTCAAATTTGATGCATATCGTAGATGAGGTTCACCCATTAAACAAAGTTATGCTTGTGTTGGAAAAGCCTCGCAACTTCCCTGAATTTATATTGAGACCTTACAGCGAATCAATGGCTTATTAACTTATTTTCGCCCTAAATGTGACTTGGATCTTTTTTATTATAACTACGTTCATTCATAATAATTACATTAATCAAAGGAGCTTCTCGGGCTCGGCCGTGCGTGCGTGCGTGCGTGCGTGCGTGCGTGCGTGCGTGCGTGCGTGCGTGTGTATTATAGATATAGAAAAAAAGGGGAGATTTGGTACGGGGGCGTGGTTCGTGTCGCCCCAATATGATCAAAATGATCATATCGAGGTGACACGCCTACAAACATCGCCACAGTGACGTGGCGATCGTTGTATATACAAGATCTCTCGTAAAACGTGAAAATGCCAAGTTGTAGCGATACACCTTGTAAAAATTTGAGTGAAAATAAAAATTTTAAAACCAGTGAGATAACATTCCACCGGCTATTTGTATTTTTAGTTACTATTTCTATTATTATTCAATGTTTTCTTTTTGTCTCCATAGAAATTTCTAAACTCAAATATAGTGATGTTCATTTACGATGATTGATATTTATCGATGATTGATGTTTATCGACAATAAATTTTTACTGAAATGTTTGAATTTCTTACTATGATTTCTGTAATTACAGTCCCTAAAATATCGAAAAAGCAAAGCCGAAGCGAAAAGCAATCACGTTAAATTTATTTCTTTTATTTTATTATTATTATTATTACTAAACATTTTATTTCGAGTAACTAACACAACTCATATTTTGGACAACCGTTTCAATTTCATGTCAATTTGTATGTTGCTGTTGCTTGAAAAAAAATGTGTGTGTATTATTGTTTTAGATAATTTACATATTTAAATTCCATTATACTCATAGATTAAACGTACAGTATTTCTAATTATTAAGTTTTTCCAATGAGTTCAAAATAAGAGAAGGTTGAATTGAAGCTGCAGGAAAATCCAAATATTGGTTTTCTTATTACTATTTCTGACTTTGTTTAAATTTCCATAGCTAATGCATTTATAAAATAAATGAAATAAAATCGGCTTTATTTTGACATGTGCATGCAAAATAAATTAGAAACAATTATAAAAAATTACACAAATCCTTCATAAAAAACAACGTAACTTAATTTATTAAATACGTTGATGGTTTCAGTTAACTCTTGACAGTGACAGCTTCACCAACCCGTGGTAACGTATAATGGAAAACTGACACTGGCGACTATCGCCATATTTTTTATATAAAACTGACACTGGCCCTAGCCTAGTGGCGGCCATTAAGAAAATAATAATAATTTATATTAATTTAATTATACACCAGTACCAGTGGGGTATAAGTATGAAAAATGGAATATTTTTTTAATATTAAAAACAGCCACTTGGTTTCTACTATCGGTTAGGTAGGACCACATCCCTCGTTGAGTAGCGTCAGTTTAAGGTTAATAAGGTTAAGAATTCACTGAGCGGTTTCCATTCGCGCCTGCCGGTGCTGCGGGACAGCAGTTTTATTTCAATACTCACGACCCTACAAGTTTATGCAGGTACGAAGCCGCTGCGATTGCGGAACGGACCGTGAACTTAGTTGGAGATAATGGCAAGTCGCGCGGTTAATAGAGAACTCATCCCGCGTGCGCCTGCACCACATTACACCTGAACCGACCGCCAAAGTACGCGGGCGACGACGGTCGCCAAGCGCGCAGGTCCTGCGCGGCTCTACTAGTACCCCGCCGCGCTAACCGCGAGCAACCGTCACTACTACAGTCGTAAAACGCGCGGTGAAATGTGCTACTAATTTTACATCCTTAACTATCACATTCTATAGATGCCGCGGTCCCGCGACAGGCGCGGGTTAAAACAGCTCCGTGAGTTCTTAGTGTAACGAAAAATGAGTTTCAGCGCCATCTACTGTGTAATAGTTAGGTATTATATACTAGTAGAATTTTTACTACAACGCCACCTGATGGTGATTGGCTGAGCCAGGATGAAAAAAATATTGAAATATTACAATAGAACTGTTACTCAAGTGACTGTAAGTTTAATTTTAAAATTATGTTACGTCGTTTTCACGTTTTAGGCCCTATTGCACACAAGCTAAAAAATGGCGACATCGGTACCCGATCTTACATAGCGTCATTGCATATCTCCCCTTTTTTCTATATCTTTGGTATATATATATATATATATATATATATATATATATATATATTATGTCTTTGTGTGCGTGTGTGTGTTCGTACTTTAAATGTACGAAACCGATACCGTTCTAACGACACGTCAGACAAATGTAAATCCGGCTTTACTAACTTTTGCGTATTATTCTTATTACTCCGCTTAGCAAGTATAAAACAAATACGTGCCTTACTTTATTTCAACATACTTAAATACAAGTAAATCAAATCTAAAAGAAGTTAACATAATATTTTAAAAAAGCAAAAGAAGGAACCTTAATTATACAATCATTATAATGTCATACAGTTAGATCTTAGAACTCTAATAGTGTAGTTGCGATGCTTTTGCGATGCGATGCTTCCTTTTAAGTGAGACGGTTAAGAGACTGGTAGACCAGAGAAGAGTTAGAAGTTTTGGTGATTTTAATAATGGTTGGAGGCGCACTCTAGAGCATAACAAACCAATATAATAGTGTGTTAAAAAATTTTGAATATTAGGATAGCCCAACTGTGAGCAATTGTATGTTGAGAAACTAGACAAAGAAGCAATGTTATGGTTCTTATATGAAATTCCAATATTTTGGAAGACTTCATATATCTGTGCTACGTTACTAAGTTCTATGCAAATATTGATGACAGGTCGCCTGAACGTGCTGGCCAACGTATGCCGCAAACCTCTTCACCAGCTATTCACCCAGTTCGCCGGTCTCGAAGCAGAAGACGACGTAAGTATCGAAGTAGTAGTAGAATGTTGCTTTTTTTTCGGTCTGGTTGCACTGTGTTTCTTAATTGAACTTTGATACCTTATTCTAAGCCTATAAAATGAGGCTGGCAGTCGACTACTTCTCTTTCCGGTGCTACACATACTACTATATTAAACGCAGCGACCTCTACAGGATATGACCCGCGAATCGTACAAGGCGGAAGCGATAGCTCTATCTTTGCTTCTCATTCAAGGACTGTTAAGGCATTGTTGTCATGTAATTATGTCGTCAAATGTTAAGATAAATTACTGCCTGCTATGAAAATTAATAAGCTGGACCAAATAATTTATCATCTGTCAGCAGAAACGGCTAAAATTTACTTAGAATAAAACCGAATTGTATTTTGGAGGTAACTGAAACTATTTACTCATTTGAATCGCAAAGAATTTAAGTTTTAATTTATTCTTTCTATTCATAATTGATAAGGCTGTACTTTATCAAATATGCAGTATTTTTTTATTGCTCACGTTTACATACAAATGCTTGCATTACATGAAAAAGAGCTTCGTTCCTATTTTTATTTTATTCAACAGAGTTTAAATTAAAATGTTAAGATAACAATCATATTTACTGTCAAAGCAATACATCAGGTAAAGATTTTTCGTAGATAATAAAAACACGATAACAGTTATTTGTGTGCCAGAATCAGATGTAAAATGGGGAAATTGGGAATTGTTATCTGGTACACCAGTGGTAAGATAAGTATTAATTGCGTTGATTCAGTGGTGTGATTGGATTCTTAATTTATTACAGATATCGTACATTGCACTCTTCCCCTACATAAATGGGTATATAGAAAGCGAAGTAACTTTTGTATTTACCGTACATTTATAAGGGTCAAACGTATTTAATTTTAGTTACTGGTCAAATTGGAGATGTCAAACTAAGTTGACCGTAAGATTTTAGTAAAAATAACATACATAGATAACATGGCTATGAAATTATATCAATAGTCTTAGTATTGTTTTTAGTGGCAGAAAAGACTTATGTCTTACATACAATTGTGCCCAATGGATGATTATGATTATCGATATAGTTTCTGAATTATCGTTCAATCAATTAATTTTTTTTCATATCAGGGTTCCGGTGACGTAAAATACCACTTGGGCACATACATCGAGCGCTTGAACCGCGTTACAAATAAGAACATTCGCTTGGCCGTGTGCGCCAATCCTTCGCATTTGGAGGCTGTTGACCCTGTCGTGCAGGGCAAGACTCGTGCTGAGCAGTTCTACAGAGGTGACAATGAGGGCAAGAAGGTTTGTGTTAATTCCTCTCCATATTTTCAATTTATTTGTGACTTCTCGTCAGTGTTATTCATCATTTACAAAATGCGATGTTTGATTAAATATTTTAAGTATACTTATGGAGGGTTAACTTTGTTGGATTTCATCACATTATCTTCCTGTATAAGTGTTAATAGAAATTAAGGCCGTTCTTCGTCTCGGACTCTAGCTCAATTCGTAACGTATCCAAGGAGAGTTCATGGTGGCCACCACGTGTGAATAATATTAATTATATAATAATAACGCACACACATGGCCCCGCAACTTACTAGATAAATAAATGTAGGCCATACAAATATATCTCCCGGCCCGGGAATCGAAGCAGCCCAGCATGGTAACCGTTCGCCCACTGAGGCAGTTAATGCCGCCAGTGTATGCTAATTATGAATATTAATACAGAAGAGGTTTTTCATTATTAATTGGTGTAATTTGTAGGTGATGTCAATTCTCCTCCACGGAGATGCGGCGTTCGCCGGCCAGGGCGTGGTGTTTGAGACCATGCACTTGTCAGACCTGCCCGCGTACACAACGCACGGTACCATCCACATTGTCGCCAACAACCAGATTGGCTTCACCACTGATCCTAGGCATTCAAGATCTTCTGCCTATTGTACTGGTACGTTATTTGTATTTCTGAATTTTAAAATATTAAAACAGATGTTTTAAATAATAAAGGTTTCCTTCATTATTCTAAACGTCATATTTAGTTTTCTAGTTAGAGGCTTTTTACACACGTCTGTGTCAAGATACCAAGTGTTACAATAAAAATAATAATGAAACTAGATACAGTGAGACGCAGACAGCGTGTCGCGCAAAAATTCGCATGACAAGAGAAGCTATATTTTATACCTATGATATGCCTATATTGTTGTAGAAACCAAATACTTGTCCATAAATATAATAAACACTACGTTAAGAAGAAGAAGAGGCATTAAAGATGATACAGCTAGGACGATTTGAATGTTACTGTACATTTTGTGAACATGATGTCTTGCGAATATTATGTTTTGCGAACATGATATTTTGTGAATATGATGTTCAGCGACAGAGGCCAGGATTTTACCTAATACGATAGATAGTAAGCTACATATGAAATATCTACCTATAACTAAACTAATATATATTTTCGTGACATATTACAAATAGTCACTAAGATCATATATATCATGCAATCACGACAGAACATGATGGATTGATTTAATTGACTGAATGAATGAATGAAATCGATGAAATGTTGCTTAATTTTAGGCTTAGAGTATAGGGATTTATAGATTATATATTATTATTTATTGGTTTATTATATATAGCCTTTATTTCTGCGCTTAAACGTTTTATTTCGCGTAGAGGCCTTCCTTCAGATATATTTTGCGACAATGATCAAATCTTCAAGGGTGCTGATTAGCAATTAAAAGAGTTGTATCGTCTACATAATAGTGTCACGTTTCAAAGGACACGTAATGAATACACTTCTATCAAGGGCATTCAATTTCATTACATTCCTGCTTGCAGTCCTCACCAAAGGTGGATTATGGGAGGCAGCAGTAAAATCATTCAAGTATCATTTTAAAAGTTTTAGGTGCTAAATTATTTACATTCGAACAATTAGTTTTACATTGACGCGATTGAATTGAAGCGATTTTAAATTCGCGCCCTATTTGTCCGTTGACAAATGGTCCATCAGATTTCAGTGTTACAGCCATCTTTATTGAATGTTCCTAATAACCACTTAAATTTTTTGAGGTTCATTGAACAATTCAGGCAGCATTTTTGGCAGGTGTGGTCGAACGAGTATCTAGTCACTTTGAACAAAAAGACAAAATGGCAAAATAATCAACCAAATGTATATGAAGGTGATTTGGTTTTATTAAAGGATGATATGGTTCATCCACAATTCTGGCCATTGGGTCGTGTAGTAAGAATCTTTCCAGGGATTCTTAAGTTAGAGTTGTTGAAGTAATGATATGTGATAAGAAATTGCATCCCAAGGCCTTTTCTAAAGTCGTATGTTGCCAATATAATTTTGTATTATACTGTGACTACTACTTGTTATGAACACTAGAGAAATATTTATTCTAATATATGTAGTTATATATTTTGTTTAAATGTATTTTATATATTTTAGTATTTAAGTTTGATTGAAGTGTCAATAGGTCGTTTATTTTAATTTCATGCGCGGGCGCAATTATGTCAACGACATTCAATTTTTTTTTGTTAAATACTTCTTTATTCCTTTGCAATTTATTTTTTTGTTTCTTTTGTTTAATCATTATTGTTTTTCTTCTTTTCATATCATTTTTTACATTTTCAGTAGGTTTTATAATTACAATACAATTTTACAAAATCGGGCATGCTGGTTTGTGGGAGACTGGTGATAAGTATATACAGGCTTCCACTTTGCAGATGAGCAATAAGGTTATTATAGCACAGTGGTTGTGGTACAGGAGAAAAATTATATAAAATACTTTAATATTTCTAAGTTAAAATAAAACTAGTAGTTACTGTAGTCTGTTCCAATCCATTTTAAACAAAAAGTAAACAAACCTGTTTGATTAAAATTGTACTTGCCGCTTGCCGTGATGAGGAAATCCCTTGTCAATTCTAGTGTCATTGACAGAGAAAGCGCTTTTTTGCGAGAGCAACTATCTGCTTTTTAGAATAATGGCTTAGACTTTTTACATAGCTGTATTCGTGGGCTAAAATACTTGTATGGAAATAGTATGGAACTTGGTACTTTATTTCCAGCAAAATTTAACCAGCCTCAAATTTTTTGCTAGAAAGCTTGAAATTAACCAAAATTATAAAAAAATATTGTGACCTGCATTTTTTATTTAAAAAAAGTGTAGTAAATATGTTTAATTAATTACCAACAACACTGCGGTGAAAAAAAGACCAAAAAGCAGCAACACTTGAACTACTACAAACTACTACTACTTAAACAACTATCCAAAATCTTAATTCTAATTCTTCTTCTTCTTTTAAATGCTCTGGCTCCATCGAAACAAACTATGATTTCGCCAATGCCGAGTAAAAATGACTATGTGCGGTACTTCTACTTTATAATGTTACAACCCCATCGATACCATATCGGTAAACCCGCCATGCCAAGTTGAGGAACGCATGCGTTTTTAACTCAAAGATTGACCGGTAAACTCCGAAAAAATTCCCTGAGGAGGGAATCTACAACAACAGAGTACATACACAGACTATTACAGAAACGAATTATTGTTTTTAATAAACTTACTCAGGACAAAGACGAAGGAAGAGTGGACTAACGTTAAGAGGAAGTTGATATTAACGGGACGGGATTGGTTAATAATATTATTGCAATATTGCAACAAGAATGACATTGACATCTGATTTGTCAATATTTTTTTATGGTATCGGCCACTAGTACATTAGCCAAAAAATGACATAGAAATCCGTTCTGTTTCGTGGGATTGAGCTCCATTTTACTTTAAGGGATTTTTAACATTATGTAATTAAAAATCCCTAACGATTTTCTGGAAATTGTAGGTCAAAAATAATTTGTTTTCAATACAGACTTTCTAGATTTTGAGAGCTCTTTACAAAAAACCAACTAATAGCCTGGTTAAATTTTCCATTTATTTTAGTACCACTAAAGGAACAACTCCTTTTATTGCTAATAAGGTAATTGAGCTTTCCATTGACTTAAAATAATCACTTGACAATATTCTTTGCGCGCCCAGTACGCTTTAGTTTTATTTCATACCAATTTCATTATAAGTTAAGTATTTTTGAGATAGGCCGTTATTCTAGATATCCATTGAAGTGAAATCCTCTCTCTTTCTTTATCCACATTATTGAATTCATCATGATAATTATTCATTTTATTTGCTGTGAAGTTAGTCCACTAGTTTGCTACAATTATTGGTACAAAAATGGAACACAAAGAAAGAAAAAATGGTTCTAGCTGGCAGGTCTCGAACCTGTGTCTGTGCCAAACCAGGGCTACGTTCTACCAACTGAGCTACAGGTCGAGTCAGCAGACCTTACGAATTTCGAGTGTTTGTTACAGATCTTTTGTATTGAGTTTTTTCGGTAGTCAGGTCGAAGGAATTTCTGTTAGATCTTAGTATTAATAATTACAAATAGTCCGTTATTTTTAATGAAACCATTTTCGAATGCAATAAATTTAATCTCTAAAAATTTGTTTATTTTTCAAGACGTGGCTCGTGTCGTAAACGCACCAATCTTCCACGTCAACGGTGATAATCCAGAAGCGGTGATGCATGTGTGTAATGTTGCCGCGGAATGGCGCGCGACCTTCCACAAGGACGTGGTCATCGACATCGTGAGTTACCGTCGCAACGGACACAATGAGGTGGATGAGCCCATGTTTACGCAGCCGCTTATGTACCGCACCATTCGTAAAACAAAGCCGGGTAAGTATCATCAAGTAGTAAAGACATTTTTGTTATTGCATTGATTTAGCGAACTTGGTGGACTGTGGCCTAAATTATGGTAGTACTTCACATGGTTATTTGTATTTACGTATTCGATATATTTGGCAAACAATCACCATGTGTAGATAGCATGTGTGACAAAATATTTGCCTTGTTTGCCTATTCCACAAATGCAGCAAGCACCAAACTCGGGTTACCGCGTGTTGGTCGGTTTTTCGACGCACATCAAAGGAGCGAAGTAGGCAAATACGCAAGTAAACCGTTCACACTTTGTCATATTCATTATATTAACTCCTTATTTAGTTCCATGTGTAGACGGTTATAATTATCAGTGCTTGCATGTTTGTCTGTACGTCAAATATTTTCCAAACACATCAAGCACTCAATAGCAAATACAAGTAGCCACGTGCCGCCTTTACAAAGTACATGTTTTCGTTTCCTATTTGATTGTTGATTCAAGGAGAACTTCAAAATAGTATAGCTTGTATATCAATACGGCATATATCGCAACCGAGTGCTGTCGTAACTCAAACTGGTTTGAAAATTTTTTATTTTTGCATGAATCTTATTGCGGCGAATAATGAGATTGTTTGTATATACACATAATAGTTAGTTATCCATTTATAAACGAGAATATAAATTTATTGGTTACATTCAGTAATTTTTTGAACGTTGTTAGTGTGTTCGTGTTTTCTCAATTCCATCATTTTTGAGTTACTACAGTATTAGGTTTCATGTGCGATATGAGCGTCGACATAGTATAGAAAACCAAGGAAAACGTTTCTTGATTAAAGGTTTTTGGAGACATGATTGATTGATTGATTGATTGATTAATTTCACAATGATTGATAACTCGTTTGCCCGGTCAACGCGTTACGAAAGTACGTTATTATTATTATTACATTGCAAATTAGTAACGCTAAATAATCTAAATTCTTTCTAGTATTGGAGAAATACGCTGATCAACTCATTTCCGAAGGCGTAGTCACGGCTGAGGAAGTTAAAGACGTCAAAGATAAATATGAGAAGATCTGCGAGGACGCGTACAACCAGGCCAAGCAGGAAACTCACATTAAGTACAAAGATTGGCTCGACTCGCCGTGGTCCGGCTTCTTTGAGGGCAAAGACCCTCTCAAAGTAAGTTAACACCAATGTCTTATGTGCATTATTTTGTCTTGGAATAACTTCCAAAATGCCAATAAAAGATACTTCCCTTTTGATCTTTAAATCGCGAGGAAACCTCTGAACCACTTTGATTAGATTTATAAAGACCAATTGAATGGCTGGGAGGAGTAGACTAGGAAATAGATACTTTGCATAAAAGTAGTTGAGGTTATGATTGTAAAAAAAAATCTTTCACGCTATGCCATATAAATACACTTCTATAAAAACACTTTATAAATACAGATGTCTGCAACGGGGGTAGTAGAAGAAACCCTCGTACACATCGGCAAGCGTTTCTCGTCACCCCCACCCAATGCGGCCGAGTTCGAGATCCACAAAGGTCTGCTGCGTATCCTCAAATCTCGCATGGAGATGGTTGAAAACCGTACAGTGGACTGGGCGTTGGCTGAGGCCATGGCTTTCGGCTCTTTGCTGAAGGAAGGCATCCATGTCCGCTTATCTGGAGAGGACGTAGAGAGAGGCACCTTCTCCCACAGGTAATTTAAAAAATGGCATTGATTTTTCACTCGAGTTCGTAAAAATGCTAGCGTTTATTGTAGTATACGATATTTCTTATTGTAGTGAAAGCAAATGAGACATTACTTATTTCTCTTTCTACAGGCATCACGTGCTGCACCACCAGAAAGTTGACAAGGCAACGTACTGCCCTCTGGCACATCTCTACCCCGATCAAGCTCCTTACACTGTCTGCAACAGCTCACTCTCAGAATACGGTGTGTACATATTTATAGGATTTAACATTTCGGATGTACATATGTATGTATTGTATGTATATTTATTTACTTCCTTATTTTTCCTACAACACATCCTCCTATTAGATATGTTTTGAGACAAGCTCCGTGCCCACCTGGGCGTTTTCAGACACGCTTCATACGGGGTAAGAGCCTTCAGCTAGTTTGTGGTCTACAAAATATCCTTAAGAAAACACTATTAAATTATGACTGTCGTTTAGTCCCCTCCTTCCAGTATCAAATACACTAAGATAAACTAACAATAGAACTAATCACAACATTTACTTAAATTTCAGGTGTACTCGGTTTCGAAGTAGGCTACTCAGTAACAAACCCCAACGCTTTAGTGCTGTGGGAGGCCCAGTTCGGTGACTTTAACAACGTAGCTCAATGCATCATCGATCAGTTCATCTCCAGTGGTCAGGCCAAGTGGGTGCGCCAGTCTGGCCTCGTGTTGCTGCAACCACACGGCATGGAGGGAATGGTTAGTTTATCTTTTTCTGTTGAAACTTGCTTGATATACAGCGAACTCCTCGTTTATTTTGTTTAATTATGACCTGGGAGTTTTTAAGGATGTCCTCAACAATCTGGCTGAGATATTTATACCGAAGTCGGTCTTTCCCTACGTTTCCATTCACTTTCACTCTATTTATGTATTTCAGCCGTTACTCTACTACTTCCCATCATTTCCACGTGATTGCAATATCCTGGGGTTCCTATTTGTATCCTAGTTGACTTCACACAACAACGCTCTTATTAGAGGGCGATATCGCCACGTATACAATCTAAAAAACAATTTTAATAGACATTATGAAAAATTTTAGGACGTTCTGTTTGTTGCTTACGACATATTGATTTTTTTATAGGGTCCCGAGCACTCGTCGGCTCGTCTCGAACGATTCCTGCAAATGAGCGCTGATGATCCTGACTACATGCCACCGGAGTGCTCTGATTACGAAGGTGTGTGGAGAAACAGGTTTCTAAGGAAATGTGTTATTTATTTAGTCCTAAAAAGTAACAACGGCTTATCTCCTGGACACTGAACATTTAAAAATCAACTCCAAATATTGCACTATGCCAAAGTGTAAAAGCCCATCGTGTTAGTGTCGAAAGTTTACAAGTTACTTTACTATGACTGAATTAGGGTGATGTTAACTTTCGCGTTAAAGTTCGTGTTGCCACTAGAAACAAATCGATTCCTTACATTCTCAAACTCGTATCTTATAAAGAGCGATTATTCAGGTGATGGCAAAACTTTCTATTTATTTAAAATTTCTTATCAAGGGTGTTAATTTGGATGCGTTACTTTGAGAATAGGTAATAAATAGCCAGTGTGTAAATACGATGTGAATTCAGCCTGCAAAATTTGTATATACAATCCATTTCTTGCATTTCAGTAACTGTGTTCTTTAAGGTACGAGTTTGAGAAAGTGAGGCGAGGAAATCGTTCTTTAAAATTTCGCAAGATGGCGAAGATCCAACTCTAACTTGTTAACTTTTACTTGGTGCGATTGTCTGGCACATATCTTACTTTATATATTTCTCTGACAGTACGCCAACTGCACGATTGCAACTGGATCGTGGCGAACTGCTCCACACCGGCATCGTATTTCCACATTCTGCGTCGCCAGATTGCATTGCCGTTCCGCAAGCCGTTGATCATCATGACGCCCAAATCGTTGCTGCGTCACCCCGAGGCCAGGTCCTCCTTCGATGAGATGGTTGACGGCACTAATTTCAGACGGTAACTCTTCTTTTTCGTATAATAATATATTATGTTACATAAATATATACATACATACGCAAATCTCCCACTGGGGTAGGCAGAAATCATATACATTTACTCGCAACGCTAAGAGCAAAACAAGTCTCGTCAGATGGTTTCATTATTTTGTATTAACATGCTCCAAACAGTGGTATCCATATTAAATCAATACCGTATTTTGTCTTTTTTGCGTAGGAACCACATTGTGTGGCATTCGTTACACTCGATTAGATAATTGAATGCTACGAAATCGGTAACAATTTAATTTTTTTTGGGAATTGTGAAATACCGTTAATGAGCGTAATTTACTTATTAACTTATTAAAGATTAATTTATTAATGATGGAATAATGTTTGTTTACAATAGAGTGATCACGGATGATGGACCAGCGGCCAAGGACCCTTCGAGCGTGCGCAAGCTCTCGTTCTGTACGGGCCGCGTCTACTACGACTTGTTGAAGGAGCGCCGCGATAGGGGCTTGGAGAAGGATATTGCCATTTGCAGGTAACCACAGGCGGTTAAACTTGTGTTGGCCTGTTCAGATGTGACGCCCAGCGTACATAGTAGATTAAACCGACGGCACTGCTGTACCTGTCACGACTGCATTATTCCACGAAGTCTGAGGAGATAATAGAGTACATCACACTTATAGCCAAATACAACCTGATGGTCGAGCGCTTTGTAGTTTCGCCATAACGTAAATTTTAATTCGTTTGTAGTGAGATTGCCAACCGATTTATCTGTCGACTTTCTTCACGTAGCAAGAGTTTTGAACAAAGGGTGTCATACACGGAAGAAAAAAAAAAACAATGGAATGAAATTACTATTTGAACCGCTGTCGCCAAAACTCACACATTCATATTTTGAAAGACTATGAAATCTTGACAATGACTGGTCGTAGATAGTTATAAATTTATTAAAATTAAGAAAAAAAAAAGACTTAACGATGTTAGGAAACACCACCATGGATAATAATTAAAAGTGCGACTATAATTTTTACACTCCAAAGTAGGAAAATAAGGCATTTTTCGACTATTTTTGAGATTTTGCGGGAGGTAGTTGAGACTGAGCTTAAGTATGTGGAACTTGGCGTACTTGTGTCACGCGAACTGAGCACTTCTACTGTATTTATTGTTCTGTGGTGTCGTGTACCGGCAATTCCGAGGTCGGTCAACGGTCACCATGTAGCGCCATACATCGCCGACAAGTGCAAATTATTATTTAGTTTTTAAATTATATGTATGTTATAGTCGTCATAAAATAACATTTGACATTGACATTGTCATCGCAACGTAAATAGGGATGTGAACTAAACATATTGGTAACCATACTAAACGGTTCTCTCGAGAAATCGATTCAAAATGTTATGAGTCTGCCATCGTTTGGATTATTTTTCGGGTCATTGGTTTTCAGTTCTAGATATACAATTAACATTTATTTATGCAATATAGAGTTTAATATAAATATAAAAGTAAGTATTTTGAAACAGCAGCAACAATATCTAATTTTTTTTACAGAGTGGAGCAAATTTCGCCGTTCCCGTACGACCTGATCAAGGCTGAAGTAGCGAAGTACCCGAACGCGCAGCTGGTCTGGACTCAGGAGGAGCACAAGAACATGGGCTCCTGGAGTTACATCGAGCCACGTTTCCGCACGCTGTTGCAGAACCAGAAGCATATCAGGTAAGACTTAAACCTTTGTAATACACGTGTGATAGGAACATCATGTGATCGTACCTCCGTATCGTTTAGGCTTAAGCTTATGCGAGTGAGAGACCATTGTGTAGAGAAAAAGTACACAGACAAGGCTGTATTACTTTCCTTCTCTCGTGTAGCTGGAACTCAAGTTCAATCGAAATCAATGGATTTTTTACAGAAATACGTCGACCAGTTTAACGCACAGGGATGTTTTTAAAGTTTGTTAACTTTATATTTTGTTTTGTTAGACAACTTGCAGCTTGAATTCATTAAATCGTGCATGTTTTTTTTTTATTTAGTGCATGAGTGGACATTTTTTCATGAGTGCTAGTCTATATTTCGGGATAATTTGTCAAAGTATCGTTATTAATACATAAAGTATGGGCTTTTTGTTATACTATGGCTGGTTTCAGCGCAGCCTATGATACTCAGCTCCGATCCACCTGCATGTATGTACCACGCAGATTGATCAAGCGGACATGTGGGGTTGGAGTACTTCGCGAAATGCTCTGAAACCCGATTAAACTTAAATAAGTTGAATAACTCCACTAGTTTCCATAGAGAGGTAAAAGTATCTCTGTGTAAATAAAAAGTTGTTTCCCGTTTTAATCATACTAACACCCATGCCCTGCCATAACCTAACCTGCTGTTGATTGCAGGGCAAAGTCCCATTCACAGGAGGGTAGTTGGTTTAGCCAGCTTTTCGGCCGGTCACAGCCCGCCCGGCAAACTGTTGAGACGGACTGTGAAAAGCCACGCACCATTAGGTGAGAGTCAATGGCATGCGCTTTAGTAACTAACCCGTAACTACCATTAGGTGTTTCAAAAGAGGACGAAGCAATAGGTTTTCTGAGCTCTTGTTCATTACTGAAATTGAAAATCGCTAAATTCAGTCAGCATTCAAATACGCGATCAAATTGACTAAAGATATGTAGATTTCCATGTGGTTAAATTACAGCGTGTAACAAAAGCTCCTAACGTAAATTATATCTGACATAAATTATATCTGATGCTAATAGGTATGTAAGACAAAAATAATTTTAGCAAATAATAAATAGTTCTAAATCCGAAATAAAATATTGATACCACGTACAGTTAAGAGCAGGTCAAGCTTGATACTTTGTACTTTGGACCGTTTTTATCGTAAGCGGCATAGAGTTGGATTTAAATCTTAAGTGTCAAGTGTGAACCCTGTACCAATCTGCGATTTTTTTACTGAAGTTGTTTTTTTGTTACTTTATAACTACATTTTCTAATCACACGTCTGGCATCAATTTTGAACACTACATAATTGACATTCCACTTTGGTTTATTTTAAGGAAATGTGCAGATATTTTGAGCTCGAACTAAACGATAGAAATAGCCACTTAGCTCTTTTTGTAATTTTGGTTTTCCATTTGATCGCTTAAAATATTTTGATAAAGAATGCTAACTTCAATATGTTTGAGAAGCACATTCAATACTTTCCTAAACATTTTTCCAACAATACCTCTTGTATTGATTTATCATCTATAACGTCGTGTGCATTATAACTATTCCTCGTTTGTTTCAGCGCAATACCTTGTTTCTTGTTTAATAATATAGGACATATTATTTCGTTCACGTGGTTGGTTCTTGACCACAATAACCAGTTTCCATAAAATAAATATGATTTACAGAATTCACTTTTCCCTAAAACAAGAGTTTGATGAGAAGAAAGTGTGTACATCTGAAATGTACTACTCGAACCTTTTGTCAACTCTGGTATGATTTTTTTATTCCATCTACACTAGAAATTATCATCAATTCCCTGGATGCCTTTGAGCGGGCTGCATGTGCTTTATGATCATCTTATTATCATCATTGCAATAAATTAGTGATAATTCAAGTTGCAAGTTAAATTTTCCAAATCTCTTTAGAAATAAAAATCAAACTTCATTGCACTTCCTACGTCGTAACTCGGTACTTTATTTCTGTTGTTTCGTTTTTGGACAAGTTGTAACGTCTCAGTTAGGTATAATTTTTCTCCGATGATATTGGAACTTCTAATAGTTTTGACTACGTCGTGCTGAGCGAGGAAGCGTCGCGTTTTAGTATGGCATGTTGTGTCGTATTGTGTTCCTAGTGAAGATCTTTGATGATAGTACTAGAGTAATGCAACAGAATGTTTATGTTAACATGTGTTTCAGCTACAACGGCCGAGCGACTGCAGCGTCGCCTGCCACCGGCTCCAAGGCTGCTCACAACAAGGAGCTCAAGAACCTTCTTGACGAGTTTTGCGTACTCTAAGTCAAGTCTTAACTGAACGCCCCCCTAGCAACTTTTAACTTTGGTATTGGTCTGTTCAAAGATATAGGTTTATACAGGTTCTTTTACCTTTTATTAGAATCCAATTTATCACATTGTGCGATCTTTATAAACTGTATTTTTACGTAACGAGCTATCATCTCGAAAACGAAATTTAACTGATCGTAAAATATCGATTCTTTGACACAAGTATCGATTTAATTTATTTTAACTTCGTTACCTTCAGTATTTTGCTGTAATTCTCTTCACGATTAGGTAGAGTAGTTAGTTAAATTTTATTTATTTATTCAATGTAGCATAATATCTGACTTGTAGTTTCTACATAACTTAATTTTAATAGTAGAAGCAATGTAACTTAGAATCACGTAGTCTCCACTTGGTAAGATGATTTTAATTTTAATTTGTTTGTTTGCTTCGGTGAAACAAAACCGTACATTGTAAAATTAGGAATAGCGCTAATATTGCGCTGGTTGTGTTGATTTTGTACATATTAGTGTGAACATTTATTTTTGTACTTTTATTTTACGTAAATCAAAGTTTTTTAATTGTAACGGGTTTTAAGTTCGTACGTTCCTTTTGCTAGTCCGAAACGATTATAAATTGTTCGTGTACGATACATACACAATTGTGTGAAGCCTATGTAATTTTCTTTTGTCTTTACAATATTGCGATCACAAAAATTATCTTGCAGGTAAATTGTCCATACTTTATTGAAGCGATAATAATGTAATGTAAATTACATGCCACGTAAATGATACGATAAATAACATCTTACAAGTTGAAAGACTATATAATAAAAACAACAAAAAAATGGAAAAGAAAATAATAGTAAACGCCGCCCCACAAATTTATGTATCGAAGAAATTGAAGATAGGCAACAGTGAGGCTGTGGAAACAAACATGTATTTTTGATATGATCTACACAACGGTTTCTCTGAGTACACTGAGTACAAAATTCACCATAACACCGCTTAGCAACGTTTCTAAAACGTTTTTGTTGTTTTCTGACGAGACTCGCAAAAGCTATTTGTACATAACATATTATGACTTCTCATGGCACTAGTTCTGAACTAAATAGCACTAAAGTTATTATATCTATGTAATTACTTGTTAGTGGTACTAAGGTCGTTATATTTTGCAACCAACCGACCCCTGTACGTGCGCCAATCTGCGAAATTGAAACCGCAAAGAGTGGAAACATCTTTTCTCACTCAGATTGTAGATTTACTTCGCTTGTAGTGACTGTCGTTTCAAACGGCACTTGTAAGGAGTAACACCAACGTCCAATGCTTTGTAAAAACCAACGCGTATTATTATCTTCTTAATCTTCGAATTAGTGTCTTTTCGTAATACTAAATTAATGTATAATAAACAGTTTCACTGATCTGATGGTTAAGTAATTGAAAATGAGAAAATGCGTAATGTCAAATTTATGAATACCAATTTGTCAGTGAAAATATATTGTTAATTTTCGTGCGGTATATTAATTTCTACTCTGTATTTATACGCATGTTTAATATGCACTATTTTTCTGTTAATTTGGCTATTTTGATGTTTATATGTATTTGGTAGTAGCTCAGGGCGGTAGGCTAGGAATGTATGGTGGTAAATAAGATTGATTGTTTGAATGGCTTGTCTGGTAGGAACATACTGAGCCAATTTATTGCTATGCTAGTTTGAAATAGTTCATTTACAAATAAATACTACACAATATTATAACAAAGTTTCATTTAAACCCTTCGGAAGCCCTACATTTACTAAAATAGTTCATCGCAAATACTGAAAAAGTGATAATTTTAGATGACGAGAAAGTCTTCACGTGGTACCATTAAATTAAAAGCGCAATACATATACGTCCTTGACGGGTTCGCGGCTCACCGCGGAGTTGGAGCACTTTCAAGATTGTTATCTGGCGCTAGTCTCATTTCAGCTCACAAAGCGCTCTATTTATAAGCCGCTTGGCCGGCCAGGCCACACGAAAAGGTGCGAAGATTAAAGATGGTATCAGATCCAAGTGCGTTTGCACTTCACGCGAGACACTTCAAAGACGCTTGTTTGAATAAGCGCTGCGTATTGTCGGACTTTTTTCTAAGATGCGGGCTTTTAATCTCCGACCTCCATGCGGGCTGCGTTAATTCTACATAAAAATATTTTTACATTTTGTAGTGAGTGATGCCTCGTCGTTACTTCGCATTTGTTTACTGGTGCATAACGAGGTCCTTATTAGGGCGTTAGTTGATGTGATTATAGCAAAGTAGGTATAATTACCTTTTCAATGTACGATTACTTTTATCACCGTTACAAGTTACTCAATACAAAACGAATTGAACGTACAAAAGGTATAACACACAATTTTCTCTAGACGCTTTTCTACAGAAATGTATTAAATGACGAATGGGAACTCTTAAAATATCTCATGTCAATTTCCAAAGAATAAGGAATAAAATAAAACGAATTGAGAAGAAAGACGTAGTACGCGACTATTTATCTCGACCTCGGTTGTACCGCAAAGAGATTTCGCTTTAAACTAAAATGTCATCCTCGAAGACTACTCCGTAGAAGTATCATACCACTTTGTTGTTCCCCTCGGCGCTTAGTCCTTTGTTTTCTAAAACTCCCTGAGCTCCTTTAATACTTTGTAATGGCGGGACAAATTCTGTGTCTTGTAAGCTGTCTGGCGGCGAGCGAGTCTAGATGAGCCGAGATATTCATAGGTACTACTCTTATATGCTCCTGTGTGAGACGTTGTTGCACATATGTGGAGACTGTGTTTTGTAGAGCAGTCATTTGTTTCATTTTTCATAACTCCCTTAAGAGCTTGTCGAGGATGCAAAATGTACGCTGCGGATTACAATCTTTGGATATCACATTTTATTATTAATTCATGTTTATATTTTAAAATTGGAACCATTAAACAAACAGATTTTTTATCTCTCGTAATGTTTCTTATACACGAGTACGATCGTCATAATATGGTGGCTATATTAAAACTTTTGAGTTTTCTAAGCTTGCTTGTGTTTTCTAAGTTCGTGTACCCTTTATCATTCTTTGTATTCGTTAAAAAAGTGCTTGGTGTAGTTTAATGTATGGCGCGGTTGCGTGCGTGTGAGCCGTCGTACTTAAGGAGATAGCATCTTTAATCTTCACACCGTAGCACTGAAAAGTTATTCTTTCTGAGAACACACTGGTGGAGGAAACATGCTAGTAATACATAATTTTGCGCTCATTATCTAAGAATGTAATGATTGTTTTCATATAATTTTAGCCTAGTTCTTTCTTTAGGTGTATGTATTTACCGACTTCAAAAAAGGTGGAGGTCCTTAGCTCGACTATTTTTTATTTATGTTGCGCGATTAATCCGACATTTTGTGAACCGATTTCGACGAGTCTTTTTTGTTAGAAAGGGGATTCCTCAGTAGTGGTCTCATTCACATTTGAAGAACATTCCATCTATCAAGGGTGGCGAACTGGGGGATGAATCCGGTTTATTTGATTTCACCCACTTTCCGTTAACGGATTTCAATAAAACTTGGCAAACAGATATATTTGCACAAACTTGTGAGTTTGGTTGTTTATATAAAAATGTATAATTATTGATCATCTGATGTTCTTTTCTCTTAGAGGATGGAAAAAAATATCCTTAAGTCTTTTCGTCACAATAGCTGTCATAGTTATATCGGATCTTAGGGCGCGTTCCCATTATGTCGTAACGTTTTATTTATCGTTGGACGACAGACGCGTCTAGCATGTTCCCATAACTATATTGTCGTGGATATTTATTTTATCTTTGAACGATTGTCTTGTCTAGCTGTTTCCACTAGACCGTGACGACAATTTATTGGTTCACAGCAGCCGCCTTGTCGTTTGCACGACAGAATTGTTTGAAGCTGCGATTATTTGTCTTCACATTTTTGTCGTGATGGTTTGTTTATCGTCTGACGACTGTCGTACTAGCTCTTCCTATGGTCACGACAGTCTGTCGTCGTAACATCAACGTGAACGACAGTTAATCGTGTTATTCTATTTGAGAACAACTTAATTTAAATATACAAAGCACGACACTTTAAACTGCACGACTATCGGTTGTCACGACGTAATGGGAACGAGTCCTTAGGAAGTTGTGGTGAATTAATCCACGCTGGACCACTAAACAGTTGACAACAATTATCTGTTTGTATCATATTGATTGTCCAAATATCATATAGAATAAATTTGTAGTCACGAGTATACGGTATACGGTCGACAAGTGTAGGTATGATGTAAAACTCCTTCATCTTTGTGTGGATTCATTAAGAGAGCGTAGTAATTTATATTTTAATATATACGAGACAACTCGTGTGATACACATTTTTCTATTTTTTTTCCTACTGATTTGGCGCAAATGGGTCAGTACATCAAACCGTGTGTTAATGCCTCTATAGTTTCTTTGGTCTCCTCGGTCTCGACAACAGCTCGTAACTCGTCATTATTCACATTAGTTCATCTAGTTGTACATACCTAAGGTTCATTTGCTGTGTTAAAATTTCCACTGCTGCGGAATCAGGTAAATCATAAACATTATAGTGCGTTCATTAGATGTGTTCGCTCCATGCACGTCATTAAAGTTTCGAGTGGTTTGTGCGGCATTAGTGCAACGTCGGAAATGATATTCAAAAATTACATTAATTTTAATTGTATCTGTGTTTGATTTCAAAGCAAAATCAACCAAAACGAGAACAAAAGACTGGTGTCGAAATTTTAATTGAAAAACATTAAAAAACAAGGTCTTTATTTCCAATTAAATTGGTCAGAATCTGAAATGAACGAAAATTTTATACTCTAACCTCTATAAAGTGAGAACTTATTGTAAAAAAATATTTTGAGACACAATAATACAACTAAATACCTACTTAAGTTGGAGAACGAGATCTAGTTATGCTCTACTTATACGATTATACCCATAAATCGCGAACCCACCTTTGTTATTAAGTACAATGGAGCGTTAATTCTACGCTTTTTTATCCTGTCATACTGTCCCATAATATTTTTATTATTATTTAGCACATTGCGGTTGGAATCACTCTACAATGCCCTGTTCAGACTATGAAAGCTTTATAAAAAGACTACCCGCGCCTTTGTGAAAGCATTGGAGCGCACCTACCTATTAATTCCTTTCTACGGAGGAAATATAAAGCTCTTTTATGTACCTGTTTTCCTGTATTAGAGAGATAGAAATATTTAATATAAAATATATTCGTGGCTCATGTCTAACTTTAGTATTGTTAAAGCAATCAAAATGGTTACCCTGTGGCCTTTCCGGGTTGTTTTCCAGTTTGTGAAACCCAAAACTTTTTCCGAGTTTTGTTTCAGTAATTTTGTTTGGTATTCAACTGCCTCGAACGTGTTCTGTGATAATAATTATGATGTCTATAAATATGTATATACGTGTTATAGCTTTTAAGAAATAATTTATGGTTTGTTTTGCTTAAAAATAATTTATTTCTTTTACGTATAAATAGTAATGTTTTTGAAACTATCGACTATATGTGGGGTAGTAATAAAAGCTCCAAAAAGTAAATTAAAAATGAGCTTGTTCAAAATATGAATATTACTGCTGTATTTACCAAGTTACTGAAACTCTTATGCAAATAAACAAACGAATAAAATACTGAAAGTTCTGAAAAACCTTATTGACGTAGTATTACTATACCATTTTAATTTATATTTTACCGAAAACTAGTTAGCTATTTTTATCGGAAACGTTTGAAAGCGGACTTACACATATACATTTCACAAACTTGTTAAACTATTCCACCAATCGGAAATACTATTATGATTGAGAACACGAACTCCTAAGAAATATCAATATTTACTTATAATAAATCATTATATATTATAACGCTACATACTGAAAAAAAATCTTAAAATTACATTATACATATACTTGACACTAAACGGATGGGGATGATTGCAAATGAATAGGTGAGGGAAATTAGTTTGTGTCCAGAAAGACTTATCATCATCATCAACAAATTTATACGTCCCACTGATAGACACTGATCTCGCCTCAGGCGAGGGTTTAGGCCATAGTCCGCCACGCTGCAGCGCCGGCCTAATGCGGGTTGGGGACTTCACACGTTTTCCGAGCGTGGTGAACCTTCTTCGACGCTCAGGTTTCATCACGATGTTTTTCTTCATCGAAAAGCTCATGGCATCTAAATTTCGCATATAAATTCTGAGAAACTCTGAGGTGAGAGCCCGGATTCGAACCGTCGACCTCTGCTTGAGAGGCGGTGAGTCAGACCATTAGACTACCACGTCTATATAACATTATGATACTGATAGCCTTGTTGTTAAAGCTAAAATAAAAAAATGTCAAGATGGCGTCGCGTTTCTAACTCGCACGACGACGCGTCGTCATCGCGGGCCGAAACGGTAATAATTATTTTTACTAGAATAATAACGCATAGAATGATAGTTTCATATCAAACGAACTGTCACAAGTGAGGCAAAAACCAAATTCATGTAGGCGTAAGCAACTTGTAACTACGCTCGTCGGCACGCACACAAATATACAAATAATGATGCCATGGAATAACATTTCCCTCAAAAGTGGGGAAATTGTATCTTGCTTAACTCATCATTAAGTTAAAGGTGCCTACAGATTTGCCCGACATTGTCGATCAGGTGCCTACAGATGTGCTCG